TACAATGGACCCATTCTAGTTGAGACTAACAATTGGATTTAGGCCCTAGTTTTTGGGAAGGACATGACAGATTTTTCTTTTATATGCCGTGATTGTATCTCAGAATCCCATACCCATCATTTTGGAGGTGAATATGTCACCTAGAAACTAATCAGTAATTTTAATTTCATGAAATACGGAATAAATTCCAGAGCAGTTTCTAGGAGAATTGCGTTTGGGCATTATATTATCAAGTATTCTGAATACAGTTAGATGGGAGCCCCTGGCCCCATTCCTTTAATTCTCACTTTGCCCGTGATTTCAGCACCAATTCTGAAAAGGAAAGATTCTACATATGAGCAAGAACCCCAGAAAATCCTTGTATTATCATTTTCAGATTCACCATTCTGTTTTCACCTAGATGGGATGCACAGAAGATTCATGGTAAAATGCTGGGGTGAGCCCCCCTCAGATGACAAGCTACTCCTGATGATATCTTTTCGAGTCATTCCTTCTTGTGTATTCTAAGCCTGAATTTCTAAAAGAAAACAAGATCTGTCTTATTTTGCCTTATTGCAGAATGGGTACCTTCAACTTTCTGAAAAACCTTATAAAACTAAAAATGCATAGGGATATTCAGCTGGTCATGAAGTAAAGATATGGGAGTCAGTCAATTTAGTTGACCTGATGGGATTGGCAAGCAAGAGAGAAGGGATTGGGGGGAGGGGGAGGACGGCAAAAGTCAATGAGAGTAAGGAAGTAAACAATGAAATGAGGATTCCCTTTTTGCTTAAATAATGTGTGATCTGTCACAAAACCATCAGACAGCATGGAGGTGGGGAGTCCTATTTAATTGTTCTGTTTCTTATACATGATGATGGTCGAAGGAGATGGGTCCATTGTTGAAATATATATATATGATATTTCAACAATGGACCCTCTTTTCTAAGGCCATTTCTCCCCCCCCCATCACATTTGCAAGAAACTATCTAATGCTTACTTCTCAATCTCACTGACTACATCTGATTTTCCAAAAAACAACAACAACAAAAAAAACTTCCAACCCCTTTACAAGTTTAACTTTCTAGGCAAATTGACAAAGAAAAGTTCATCTGTGCACTACGATTCAATTTAAGATCCACTTTAATGACAGAGTTGGTAAAGGTAGAGGAAAGGTTGAAAGAGGTTGATGGGTAGGTACAGAAATCTGATCAAGGAATGGCTATTGGAGAGGGTCTGGAGAGGAAATCAAATTATAAATGCTTAAATTTTGATGTCATTTCAGTTCTATTTTAAAGCCATGACAAGGTCTTTTGCAGGAGAGTTTGTGCCTATATGAGCTTTTGGGGATCTTATGATATGCTTGTACAACTACTTAGTCTGGTAACAACAAGCAACAGGGCCTATTCAGTGGTGGCCACGATTCTGTGGAATGCCCTTCCAATGGATGAACACATAGGCCCCTCACTCAATGTTTTTTAACAGGCTTTAAAGAACTAGATGTTCACCAGCCTGCTTTTGTGCAAACAGATGCTCAATTCTACTTCATAAATTTAATCTTACTCTTGCTGTTATTAATATTTCAAAAGTTTCATTCTTCGTATTGGTTCACTGTGTTTCCTGTTTTACAGTTTTAAATTTTTATCTAGTAAACCACTTTGGGGAACTTTGTCTTGAACAGCGGTACAAACATATCTTAAATCAATCCTGTGGGGAAACTATTTATGGAGTACTTTAAAACAAAGGGATGTCTGAGGGTGAAGGAGACGGAGGTGAACTGTCAAATTTAGTACAAGGCCAGCTCCACCTAATCCCCCAGCATTCCTTCTTCCCACTGCTATACTCAATCCATATCCAGGCCGCGAAAAGGATCCTCCAACAGTTAGACTTTTTTGCTGCAAAGGAAATAGCAGTGGCAAGAAGAAAAAGTAACTGAACAATATTTTCTACAGTCAGTTGTTACCCCAGAAATGAGCAGTATCTCTCTATTGGTCACAGACAGACACTAGCCAGCAACTCAAGGCTAAGCTTCCTCCTGCTCTTGGAGGAGGAGATGGAAGAAGATGCAAAGGATTATTTTAAAGTCTTTGTCATCCATCTCTGAATTGGTTGCTCAGCAAGCCAATTCAGTGCTGTTCCACTTGGCAATAATAATTTTTGAAAATAGAAAACTTCCTCCCACTCCCCTCTAGAGGGGGAAACAGGAGAGGATAAGCAGGGGATTTGATGTGTTTTGTTTCCCCCCTTTTAAAGGGAGGAAGGGACTAAACAGGGTTGCTTGAGGTGGAGTATGGGTTCCTGCCTTGAAAGCATCCATTCAAATGTGCCAATGACCTCAAAGTGGCTCTGCTTAGGATGATCCAGCCTGATTCAGTGTGGGACAATGTGGCCATCTAGTCACACCCTTTGTACACTTAGCATTGACCATGAACATGTGCAGACTTTATTTTATGGAGATGACTTGGTTCTCCTGTCACTAGCAAGCCTTCTACTGAGTCAGACCATTGGTCCATCTAGCTCAGAACTGTCAAAATTGACCGGCAGCAGCTCTTTGGGGTTTTAGGCAAGAGTTTTTACAGCCCTGCCAGGTGATGCAAGGGACCTGAACCTGGGACCTCTGCATGCAAATCGCATCTTACCTACAGCAGGTTATGACACCTGGAAACAATTCTGGATCTAAGGAAGATTAAGAAGTGCTGTGTTGCACTGGTACTATTCAATACGGTCAGTTGGAAAGGGGGAAAAGGCTGCTTTGATTAAAGCTGGAAGAACAGAATTGTTACTATTCAATACGGTCAGTTGGAAAGGGGAAAAAAGGCTGCTTTGATGAAAGCTGGAAGAACAGAATTGTTCTAAGTCTCAAAGACTCAGGACCATTGATAATGAATCCTGGAGAAGGAATGTTGCATTCATGATTCTTATAAGGTTCCAGAATAATGGACTTTGTATGGTCAAAATATACTGGATTTTTTTTTCTTTTGGTTGAACATTAAATTTTGACTTTAGGGCCCTGACAAGAACAAACAAGAATATTTCCAACAGAAACAATTGTCTTTCCATCTGTTTAATGTTGACCTAAATCACTCCTTATTGGAAAAGACGGGCAATGGAAAGCAAAGCAAGAAGTGTGAAAACACACTTTTTAAAGCTTATATGGTGATGACCTGGCCCTCAAAAATGGCCGTCTCAATCCAATTACAGGGGTGGCTTGTCTTCAAATCAGTTTAGTGCAATAGAGTCAGAGACTGCCAAATTGGTATTTAGATAGTGTCTCTGAGATACCTTTGTACGCAGAGGTTTCTCTGTACCGACAAGTGGTATAAAGGCATAAAGTAGTGTGCAATGGCAACATTTTACCAGTTTCAAAAAGAACACTTGGTTTGAATTTCCTTCTGTTCAAGATTGCAACCCGATAGCATTCCTCCTGCTGGGTCGGCTTTTTCTCTTTCTTTATTGGTATTTAGATAGTGTCTCTGAGATACCTTTGTACGCAGAGGTTTCTCTGTACCGACAAGTGGTATAAAGGCATAAAGTAGTGTGCAATGGCAACATTTTACCAGTTTCAAAAAGAACACTTGGTTTGAATTTCCTTCTGTTCAAGATTGCAACCCGATAGCATTCCTCCTGCTGGGTTGGCTTTTTCTCTTTCTTTCTGGTCTCTTTCCTTTTGCTTTTTTTTTTGTTGTTGTTGTTTATTTTATCTTTTGCCCATCTTGAACGATATTATTAGTGTTGTTTTCTATTTTATTACATTGCTTTTATGTTATTTTTATTGTTAGCCACCCAGAGTAGACTTGAGTCTAAATGGGTGGGGTATATAGTTAATAAATAAATAAAATAAAAATTGTAGAAGAGCTCTACCTTCAACTGGGATTTGAACTAATGCCCACCACTGTCTTATATGTACATACACTTTAGTTATCACCACTCTTCTTGTGGGGAGGAAACAAGATAATCCATATTGTTTATGGAAACATATGGAACAAGTTTCTTCCCCAATATTCAAGAAAAACAGAATATTTATTGGCCAGAAGAAATGAAAAATTATTTTGGGTGGTGGATGCTCTGGTAGATGAAAAGCAAAACTGTTCTGATTTACACATAATTGACTGAACTTCAGTTAGACTGCCAACTGATAACACACTGAATTACTGAAATTGATTTAAAGATGCAGAATATTTGCTCAATATAATATTTAACATGTTTATCACAAACAGATGGACATTAGGCAAGTTATGTGCCTTTATAAGCTTGTGTTTATTGTCATTTCAATCTGTTAATTTTGGCTAAAGCTAATGGTCAACATAAATATAGCCTAATTGAATATTAGTAATTTGCCTCTTCCATTTCTAGCCATACAGAGTAATTAATCTTTCCCGCAAATCTTTGTACTGCTCTCTAATGGTTACATTAGATGAATGGTCTGATAGTATACTTGCATTGTTCTCTCTATGGTGTTTTCAATATAACCTTGAAGCTCAAATCAGCTCGATCCTATTCTGTGTCCAAGATAAAATTATGCTATTTACTACAATTTAAGCATTTATGATCTTATCTAAAAGAGGTACAATCATAGCACAGTCCTTTGAAGATGTTCCACTGACCAACTTCTCTCAGATGAAGAGATGCACAACTTCATAATTAAGTGTGGAGCAAAACTACTGCACTAAAATCTAGTTATTTCAGGCTTAATGCTATGTGGTTAGTGGTAGACATAGACCATAGCCATAAAACACTATGTGGCATTAAATGAAGAAGAAGCTACTAAAAGCTAGACATGGTGATGGGAAATGCATGCACTATGAGCATCCTTTTCAAAAGGCTTCATTAAAACACTCAGAATAGATATTTATTTGCACAATGAAGCCCCCAAAAGATGTCAGAAGGCAGCAAATGAACAAAGGGCCTTTGGCACCTACAAGAAGTCACTTGTATTGGAAGATACAAGAAAGAAGTCCCATCATATCTGAATTATGCTGGAACAGCTCTTAAAGGTGATAGAGAATTAATTTGCAAAATACCTAAAGTAGGGTCCTTCAGTGTTTTTATTCACATCTTCTACCCACTTAGCTACATTATATTCTCTTTTGAACCATGGGTTTAAATACCTGCAAAAAGCAATGGGAGGAACAGTGAAAGCAGAAGAATAGAGAAATATCTGAGAACATACACAGCATAAGCCCAATAAGGATGTTTCGTTCCTTCAAATGTCAGGATAAAGAAAACATGAACTGTAGTGTTCAAAATGAATTCCCTTAGAAATTACTCCAGGCGTACATTTTCAGTATACTCTTTTAAATACAGCCAGAGTTCGGGAAAATTAGTTTCTTGGACTTCAAATCCCAGGATGCCCCTATTAGCATGGTCACTAACCATGCTGTCTGGGGGATTCTGGGAGTCACTGTCCAAAAAAATCTAACTTCTCCAAGCTCTGAAAATAGTCACGTGCAGGGACCCTAGGCTTTAAACACAAGAAGTATCTATCCCCTTCTTAAGTCTGCATAGCAAAGCTTATGCTGCAGCCAAGCCAACTCTGAACATTACTTAATATACTGGAAAAGAGAGGAAAGATCTCAGCCACTTCTAGCTGTGCTTTCTGCATAAATTTCCCAAGCAAGAAGCAGATGCTGCTGAACAATTCTCCTTTTGTCAGAAAGACTCTCTACCTTTCTGCTTGTCACTGCAAATGCACAGAAGAAAAACATCTGTGATGACTTGAAGAAAATAGCCAGTTCTGTGTCATGAGCTACCGCACCTCTAAGGAGTTTGCCTTGCAGTGGCATACACCAAGTGAGTTTGGTTGCAATCCTATGGATATTTATATGGGAACATTTTCCACTGAGTTGCACGGGATTGACTTAAGATTAAATTTTATATGGAATCACAAAGGTCAATAAGGCCCTTTCTGTAATGCACATCAGAAATGGGCTCATGAGCGTACGATGTATCCTGCACAAAACAGGTGGCATGTATAAAAATGGAATTTGTACATACAGAGTGGATGTGACTTTCAGACCTTGGGCAGCCTTCCAAAATCCTGGTTCCGCTCACCATGACTCATATGGCATTATTTATGGGGTTAAACGTTCAGATTGGATCTAACTATCATTGTTTATCAATCAAAAGGTTTAGTTAGTTATACTGGAAACTCTCCTTCTCTTTCTTAGCACAGATAAGGGTAGAGAGCCTTTGGCCTTCCAGGTGTCTTAGTCTACAACTCTCATAGTCCCTTTGCCCATTGTACCTGTGGGGCTTGGGCTCTGGAGAGCTGACATACAAACAATTATAGATTCTGTGAATACTTGCTTGGATTAAGGTAAAATTTCTCCCCCTCCTCCTTCTGCAGATACCATGAATATTCTTGGTACTAGGACTGCACATTATAAAATCAAATGAAGATGTGCTCATATATAATAGGACTTTGGTCTTCTGCAGACTAACAACATAGACCATACCTTGTACTTTATGAGGCTCATCACATTTTTGGTGAACCTCAAGTTCTATTTACCTGTGCATTTAATCCTGCAATTCTGGATTAAAAAGTAGTCATTGCCTAATGGGGCTGCCAAAGGCAAGAAAATAAAAGGTCCTGCCTTTTTCTTCTCCCTGCCGATCTTACTGAAAATCTATCTCTGTCTTTTCCTTCTATGATCCCACTAGATGGCAGCATTTTGGGTTAATTTCACGGTCACTTGCACTTGCGTTTAACAGAGTTTGAATTTTCAGCAGGTCTAAATCCTATTTGGTGTATTTATTAAATAATGTCACCAAATTTTAAATGCATTTTTTTCTAGTCTGCATAAATTCCTTCCACCCATCACAGAAGCTCAGATTTTAATTCTCTATCAGCCAGACATGCTTCTAAATAAATTGACTTATTTAACAATAGGTGAAAATGAGGAGTGCTTTATGTTTTCCATATGAGTTCTTCAATATATAGCTAAAAGCGTAGCTGCAAAACAAACTGCTAGCAAAGCAAGGGGCTCATGACAGGACATTAGGCAAAAATTTGTTATCTTGCAATTTTTTTTAGTAGGCTCGTGCGAGAATAGATGCCAAAACTTTAACCTACACGTTTTAATAGGAAAGGCTTGTTTGGCAACCATGAAGCACTCCTGATCTGAATTTTATATCAAGAAAAAAGAAAGTTATCACATCAGCAAAGCATGCAACTATTGTATAACATATGTTTTGGCATCTTATTACCATTATATATAGTTTTAACATCTATCTCTCCTGATTATCCTGTAGCTCAGTGGTCCCAAACCTTGGGCCTCCAGATGTTCTTGGACTACAACTCCCAGAAGCCTTCACCACCACCTCTGCTGGCCAGGATTTCTGGGAGCTGAAGTCCAAGAACATTTGGAGGCCCAAGGTTGGGGACCACTGCTGTAGCTGAAGGTTAACATCATTCCATATTACAGAACTGATTCAGGAAAGAAGGGTAACTGTGCATCAGTCATCACTGATATACTGTAACACAGCAGATCCAGTGGTTTAAAAAAAAACTGAAATAAAGTCATCTTCAGCCTACGTCTAAAAAACTAAACTACTGGCTTGATCTGGCTTGCAACACAACATGCAACAAGGCAGAAGTCCCAGGTTGGTAATAGTGAAAAAAAAATTAACTATTGGGCCAGCAAGAAAAAGGGCTTAGCTAGCACTGCAATCAGCAGAAAAATCTCCAAGCAACCAAAGGTATTTTTGCCACACTGAAATTTCTCAGAAGGAAATCTGAATTTGGCAGCCCCAAGCAAATAGGCTCTTGAAACTGACCTGTGGTCACGACTCCCTGCCTGTGGGTGAAGAGAACCCCTTTGACTTATGTCCTGGGGTGGGATTTGATTGGTGTGGGAAACCCCAGGCTCAGAAGCATGGGATGCCCGGCTGCAAAAACACAATATACAGGAGGGGGGAAAAAACCTAAGCTGTCATCTGTATAATTTATAACAATGAGGAAGATGCACATCTAGAGGCAAAGTTAGTACAAATGCTGGAAGAAAGCTGATATGGCTATTTTCACAATAATTTACTAGTACGTGCTTTAATATAGGCTCTTATGCCAACAGTCAAAATCTTGATTGTCATAGGTAAAAGGAACCAAACTTGGAAAACAATTTTTTAAACTACACCTCCCAAAATGCTACAGCCAGTAATGCTGGAAAACTTACTGAGGCTGCAGGTTTTTTTTAAAAAAATCCCCAATTCTGGAGCAAACGATCCATTCATGTTTATAGAAGACACCAGTGAATGTCTTAAATACATTTTATTTAGTCACTTTAGAAGTGGAAAAGGAATATCAGTCCCACAGAAATTGTCTTTCACCTACAAAATTTATCTTCTCTCCCACTGACATGATATGATCCAAGAAGATGACTGTTTAATGGCACTGATCTCTAGGACCTGTGTGGCAGTAAACCCATGTCTTAATAACAGGCTTTCAAACACATATTCCAAAAAGGAGCTTGCATCAGCTAGATTCTGACATAATAATAAAGTGTGGTTTATTAATGAGACTAGCCTTCCTGCCTTCCATGTTAAGAGGAATTCAGAATCTCTTGTTTCTGTTCTTAATTAACCATGACTCTTCAGGTTTTCTGGCACTACCATTATGTAGTTAATCTTCATAAACACTGGTTTGTTTGAAACAAACCAGCTTTGAGTCATTGCATTAACAACTAGCTTACAGAAAACAGAAGGAAAACCTTCTACAGTTTTCCTCATAATCATCTAAATATTTAGAGAATCTGGGAAATGGTCATCATGCTTATGTAGTTGACATTGAATGAAGTGCCATACATTCTGCAATATACAACACTCCACAGATATATGATGTGATTTATTTTACTTATTCTCTACACTTATTTGAACTTCTGCTTATTTGGTAGAAGATATGTTTGCTGCACTCAGGCCACATCATGTGGCGCATCATAAGTTCAAAACCGTAAGTTCAAAAAAAATTGTAAATGCCCTACTGAGCTTAATTTGATATAAATCACTTTATCTATACATGCACATATTCAATTTATCCATACATTACTGACCTTGCAAAAACTAAGCAAATTATTAACTCAAATCTTGCTTAACAATACAGAATTCTCTAGTAACATTTGTTATTGGCACAAATCCAACAATCAGACCTAGAGTAGTCCCATTGAATCAGTGGAACCGTAAGGAAGAGCTGACTCACAAAATCCCCACTGGCTCAATAGGTCTATTCCAGTTGTGACTTCCAAATGAATTTCAGCCATTATATGATATAAAATTTTACAAATACTAACACAAAGGAAAGCATATCCTTTTAAGAATAAAGGGCCTCTTATACTCCTAAAATCGTATTGAACTAAAACTGTTGCACAAGGAAGACCTACAAAGAGTTACCCAGAATCCCCCAGAGCTGGACAAGTTTGGAAGCTAAAAAGTAAATTTACCAAGCACTGTATGAAGTTACTCATGATAATATATCAAAATGTTCAGTAATGGCTGGAATCCTGTTGTGTTACTTATTTTTTCCCCTGCCTGTAAGTAACGCCACCCAGGAGCTGATATTTTCAATAATTAAAGACTTGCTCCTTCAGTCCTGCAGCTCCCACAGCTTCCATGTTGTGACTGGGAAGGACCATGGGACAAAAATACAAACTTGTGACTACTGAAAATTGCTCTCTTCCCTTGACTCCAACACCATTCCTCAGGTTTTATAACAGGATTTCTGCCACTAGGAGACAGCACAGAATGGGCGAAGACAACGGAGATCAGCAAAAGAGATAGAATTTTGCAGTATAATTATTAAACCTATAGCTTTAATTGATCACTAAGTAAAGTCCCTGGCTCAGAAATATATGTCATACTGCTAATGAATCCTTAAAAGGTCCCTCTGAATAACTTTTGGCTTACAAAATGATCTGTCAGACTTAATGTGCAGAACAGTACCTTTTAAAATGCTGTAACTTATTTCTGCATTAATGTTCCCCTCTAATTTTTTTTACCCTGCCTGAAGGCAGCATTAAAATTGGAGCAGGAGGTGGACGACCTAGATTCTAATACCCACTGAACCAAGAAATTCATTGAGTGAACTTGGGCCTGTCATTCTCTCTCAACTGACATTCACAAGGTGGTTGTGAGGACCAAGTGAGGGGGAGGAGAATCACGTACTCTGCCTTGAGCAGACTGGAGGCTAGAAGGATGCAAATGTAACTATAAACAAACAAAGAAATAAACAAATATAGGAAAATACTTTGTATTTACTCAGGAACATGTCTGCATGCAAGTGATCATACTATAATTAATGGATGCTGGGAAAGGTGGAATACATACAGGTTAAAAGGTTTAGGCTTTCAATAGCACAGGGGAAAGCTGACTATGTAGTCTACGAAGCAAAATTCTATTGAGGGAAAGCCCCATCTTAGAAGAACTTCAGAGAAACAGAGTTCTCGGGCTACTGTCTACAGGGGCTTATGTTTGCTCCCATTTTTTAAAAAACACGCCGTATTTTTCACTTGCACATTTTTCCACCCCCAAAGAGTGTGGGTTATGTTTGCTCCCATTTTTTAAAAAACACCGTATTTTTCGCTTTCACACTTTTCCACCCCCCAAAAATGGGGGGGGGGAGTGTCTGCATCTTATGGAGTGAAAAATACGGTAGTTATTGTTGGAAAATTGGTCTCGAAAACCATTAAGAAACCAATCTGGTCCACACAGGGCACCATCCTATATACACACACCTTGAATAAGCCCCAGAACTTTGTGGTTTGGACAGTTGACTGTTGATGGAATCAGGAGCTTCTTGTTCTTGTTTCATGTAGAGACAAAATTTATTGCCTAGCCTTTTCTAAGCATTTTCTAAGCCTCCAATGAAATAAAGTACGTATGTTCTTAAAGATTTATCTCTGTGCATAACCTTTTCAGACAGAAAAATGCCACAGATGCACAAAAAACACCCTCCCTGATGGTGTCACTTGCCTCTGAAGGGGGCAAATTGCATTTTAAAGGACAAATAAAGCTGGGAGGGAGGCAGTGGGAAAACTGTACACGGGGAATCTTTCTCTCAGCATTCTCTAAAATGAAAATCCCCCTTCCTTGAGACTTACTTAGAAACATAAAGGCTTTTGGGTAGAATGGATTAACATTGCTCAGTATTCCTATAAAGAAGTCTACACAAAGATACCAAGTAATGTATTCTTGAGGCTTTCATGGCCAGGATGATGGCGTGGGTTTTTCGGGCTTTTTGGCCGTTTTCTGAAGATTGTTCTTCCTAACGTTTCGCCAGTCTCTGTGGCCGGCATCTTCAGAGGACAGGAGTCAGAACTCTGTGCTCTGGGTTCTGACTCCTGTCCTCTGAAGATGCCAGCCACAGAGACTGGCGAAATGTTAGGAAGAACAACCTTCAGAACATGGCCAAAGAGCCCAAAAAGCCCACAACAACCATACCAAGTAATATTTATGAATACACAGCAGAGTAGATTTACTACTGCACCCAATGCTAATCAGCACTTTTAAACAAGAAGTAACATCTGAGCAGTCTAATGTAAGTCCTGAACAGACAGGAAATGAAGCAGATTTCTTTGGGCAGCTTTTTAGTTTGATTTTTCACCTGAAAGATGAACTTACTCAGTTGAATTAGACCGCGGCCTAAATCTTTTGCCTTTGACTTTCTTTCGGTTGCCTCCTATATTACCTGCAAGAGACCAAACGGAAAGATAATTTTAAAAAAAACAGTAATTCAGAATTCAGCAAAGTAGCACTCCAGATGTTATTTAAGTTGCATTGAATCCAGACTTTGAAGAGGCTTGTTGAAATTCATGGGACATATCCGTTATAGCTGAGTTCAGTGGGTCTAATAAATGGAGCTCAAAGCCAGGATGTGAAGTGGATTTACAAAATTTATATGAAACACGCTAAGCCTAGTTGAGCATAAGTATCAGTATGTCTCCAAGTCACTCTTATATATATGAATACTAGCAAACACAAATAGGGCTATATCATGTCCTGCAGGTGGGCCTTCCATAAACACTTAGGGTGCAATCAGACATTGATTTAGTTAGTGTTTTGGAAAACAGTGTATTCAATCTGTTTTCTGATGACCAAATGATGTACACATGATTGCGAACTAGCCTGACTTTGAACAGTGCTCAATCTGGACCTTTTATGCCCAGTAGCAAAGCTGCTCTTTTTCCGGAGCATGTCTGGAGCAATCTGGATCAAATTGCATATGGACAGAAGGGTTGCTTTAAAGGATCACTTTAAAGATCAAACTCAGTGAAATAATGCCTTCTGGCACGATTCAACATGATCTTATATCAAGGTCAGATTACATCCTTAGGGTGTTTCTGGATACATCCCTGGTCTGATCCATCTGGCTATATCGTTTATATATTAAAATCTACAAATCACATTTTGGTTCAGTCCATGTTTCTATGGCACCTGTACTAGCTTTGAAGTCTAGAGCACTGGTTCTTAACCTTTGTTATTCAGATGTTTTTGGACTGCAACTCCCAGAAGCCTTCACCAGCAGCTCTGCTGGCTGGGGTTTCTGGGAGTTGCAGTTCAAAAACACCTGAGTAACAAAGGTTAAGAACCATTGGTCTAGAGCTTCAGGGGCCAACACTCATAGCACAGTAGGACCCCCCATATCCACTGGGTATTGAGTCCCCCTTGTATACTGAAAAATGTGAATAATAGTGAACACTATATATAGAAGGTGCCAAAGACCATGTATGTATTCTTCACTAACAAATATTCATAGAATAGTCTCCAAATCTATCCAGTGGCCTGTTCAGGTAACACATCTGAAAACCATTTTTCTGTATTTTTCCCCTTTTAATCTTTTCAAACTGTGGATAACTTCACTAACAAATATTCATAGCATAGTCTCCGAATCTATCCAGGTAATACATCTGAAAACCATTTTTCTGGATTTTTTTTTCCTTTTAATCTTTTCAGACTGTGGATAAATTAAAGTGTGGATACTGATCCCGCAGATAGAGGGGTCCTACTGTAGTGAAGTTAATAGTAGTATTGTAACTTAGCTCCTTTTTCTTGTCTTTTTAGCTCCTGTTGATTGTCTTGGGTCCTTTTTCTTATCTTTTCCATGTTGCCCTTGTGCATTTGTACCTAGTATGCCTCTTAAAGGTCTAGTAGAGAACCTGCCACAGAATACACATACAAAATACACAAATACACTTCCTTCCCTTGTCTTATTGGGGTTTCTGGGAGTTGCAGTTCAAAAATACCTGAGTAACAAAGGTTAGGAACCCTTGGTCTAGAGTTTCGTAGGACCCCCCCATATCCACTGGGTATTGAGTCCCCCTTGGATACTGAAAAATGTGAATAATAGTGAACACTATATATAGAAGGTGCGAAAGACCATGTATGTATTCTTCACTAACAAATATTCATAGCATAGTCTCCGAATCTATCCAGGTAATACATCTGAAAACCATTTTTCTGGATTTTTTTTTCCTTTTAATCTTTTCAGACTGTGGATAAATTAAAGTGTGGATACTGATCCCGCAGATAGAGGGGTCCTACTGTAGTGAAGTTAATAGTAGTATTGTAACTTAGCTCCTTTTTCTTGTCTTTTTAGCTCCTGTTGATTGTCTTGGGTCCTTTTTCTTATCTTTTCCATGTTGCCCTTGTGCATTTGTACCTAGTATGCCTCTTAAAGGTCTAGTAGAGAACCTGCCACAGAATACACATACAAAATACACAAATACACTTCTTTCCCTTGTCTTAAATGGCTTGTCAAGAAACTACCAGGGCAGCAGATTTGGCCACAGGCAGTTTCTCAGCCAGCTCTTTAAGACAAGGGAAATAAATTATTTTTTTTTAAAAGATTATAAGTTACGCAGGGCATTTTTGCTGCTCTAACAGAGGCTAAAATTTTTCTCTTCCAAGGAGCAGAGGAAATGTTTAAACAGCTAATCTCCTGAAGGGGTTCTATTAAGCCACTTCACAATAGTGCCAATTTTTTTAAAGGGGGGGGGAGGCTTTTGGTTTATTTCCAGCAATCACATAAACTGGAAAGTGAGCAAACCTAGCTGCACTTTCAAAAATAGAAGCCTCTGGCAGGGGCCAGAAAGGTGCAGGTTGGAACGTTCAAGGGGCAGGTTGGTTCATTCCGGCAACGACATCGTTTGATCACCATCTTTTGGAATGAACCAGCCTGTCCCTGCAATGGACCAAAGGTAAAGGTAAAGGTTCCCCTTGACATTTAGTCCAGTCATGTCCAACTCTAGGGCGCTGTGCTCATCCCTGTCTCCAAGCTGTAGAGCCAGTGTTTGTCCATAGACAGTTTTCGTGGTCACGTGGCCAGTGCGACTAGACATGGAATGCAATGGACCAAACAGCTGGCTAAAATGCCATGTGGTCAACCTCTTAGTTAATTTTTAAAAAACCAACAACTTTGAGAATAATCCTGTCAAAACACTTCTAACAATATTCTCCAAATTAATTTTGAAGGAAAGACTGCTCATTACACCACTGAAGTAACTCTGTTGCATTGTTTTTGAAAATGTTACTTCATCATGTACTTCCTTATTATGAAAGGAAACCAGTTGTAATACTGAATAACTCTGGGGAATTGAGCAAAGTCTATATTATATTCGCCCATTATATGCCACAAGTACTATATAATGGGTAAAGCCGGAGAATCAGTTTTATGTATAATCCCTTCCTAATTCTTTGCCAAGGGCACAACCGGACTCCATTCATAGTGAGATTCTTAGAATGAATTGTGCTTTTACTATGTATTCAGTAAGTTACTGCAAGAGAAGCAGAATTTAAGCTGTATCTTTAAAATTCTAATCTGCTCCAGTGCACAGCAGCACAGAATAATTTAAAGCCTCCAAAGTGTATTTCAAAGAGGTTTGTTCCTGTACAAAGTCATAACTGTGTATGCAAAAATTATCCTCACCTTGCCATGAGTTACTCCTCGGTCTCCCATTCTGACAGATGTCCGAAAGGTTCTTTGCATCTTGGATTCTTTCACTCCATGAATGAGATAATCCGTTTGACCTAAGTGTAAGTTACAAGACTTGCATTAGGTGGTTGATTTAATTCCTAATAATGCCATCATTCAATGACTGACTTTTCAGGTTGAGATAACTTCAAGGTCTGTCCACAGCCCCTAAAATATCTACTTAAATTAGTTCTATGTAGCTTTCTTTTTCCACTTCAGTATCCCTTGAACTCCTGCAGTTGTTTTTTAACTGACCAGTTATTACTAATGCAACCTCCCTTGTCTTGCTGTCCTCCAGATGTGTTGGACTTCAACTCCCATAATCCTGAGCCACTGTGGATGTAGAAGGTGGGGACTGCAGTCTAACCCCTCTGGAGCTATATCTAGTCCTGGGAGCATCACTCACTCCCTGCTTAATCAAAATATTCAGACACACATTTTTCCATCTCATTATTTGTCAAGGTGTGACTCAAGGAGAGCTATCAAATAAGTGAGCAGACTCAGGCCAAAATTTCTTTCTATTCCTTCTGCATGTGCCACAGGCACAACCCACTGTTGTCCTTAGGGACAAGCTGGGCAGAGACAACAAGGCACTTCCTCTGCCAGGTAGAAGTCTCTCTTCCTATGTTTGTTTCCTTAAAGAAAAACACAAGTCAGATACATGGCTTGGGAGTAATAAGAGTTTAGTCCAACCCATTAAGAGTGCTAGCTTAGGGAATTCTGCTCTGTTTTCCTTTGCACAAGATTCTCATAGGAGAGAGATTGCATCTAACACAACCTTTCCCCCCTGTTATGTTCTCTGATGTTGTCTGGGATGAAAATTTACCTATCTGAATCTAGACACCCATTGTATAAAGCCATTTTAGCAACAGTGTTCTTATATTCTCATGTAGTCAGACCTTATGAATTTTATGACGTTACACAGCTAAGAACAAGCAAGTGACTGAAATGAGGACCCAATGGAAACATGAGGGTGGGGAAAAGACACACACCACTGTGACATGACATCAAAGTAAGGCCCACTTTAAAAGTCGAACAAAGCTTCGTAGGAGGGACGAAATTGTGCAGATATAAACAAAACCTTGGAAAACCAGTGTTCCCAAGATTATGTTGCATTAAGTTATTTGAGAGGTTCAGAAGCAGGAGAATCTGCATCATATAAAAACCTCCCTTAAGAAAAAAAACACCCCATATGATCTCACTCAAAAAACCCAACACTTTGTTTCTTCCACACAAACTTTCAGTTAAGAAATTCAGTACTGAATCATATCTGTTTTTCTAATAAAAATGTGCCAGCAATTCACCGAGGTATTTTTTTTTAAAAGTCAGACACTTAACTAGTGCAATAATCAAATGCTAGAATTAGCATTATACATGCAACATTTAACTACAGTGTGCAAGTTTAAACTGACAAAAAAAAAATCTTTCTCCTCAGCTTTTAATCTGAACAATGAATGATCCAAATGGTGGAAAAATAAAACCGGGGTTCACAAACTGGATACCTGAGGTCTGTCAGTTATTAACATCATTAATGTTAGGGATTTTGTTGGTAGAGATTTTAAAAATCCTGGTTGAAAATAATTTAAAGATTCTAAACTCACAGCTACATAAAGGAGTCACGGATCAAAATGACCTCGTTAAGTGCTCACTAAGATGAGCCTGTAAATTTAAAATGGTGTGTATGTGTTCTTTCAGCAAACAAAACAATACACAACTCAGTTCTTCCAGTCAGGCACAGATAGATCTGTAACAGAACTTCCTCGTCTCACAAATGCACTGAATATTTTCTTTCCATAGATTTGGGCAAGAAATCTTTATTCACTTAGAGTTCGAGATACTGCTATGAGAGGTAATGGGCTGGATATTAAATTTAGCAGGATCTGGGAGGCAGCAATATCTCTAGGGTCCAGTCGGCAAAGCATCAACCCCACCATGGGTGAATGGTTATAAAAGAACAAGGACAGAAAACTTCTAGCAATCCAGGGCTACACATGCTCATCCTTGGCTCTCAAAGGGATGCCTCTGGGCCACTAAACATGGCTGAAAAGCAACTCTGATTCTGAAAAACAGCCCCCCACTGGAACTAAAATAGCCGGGGCAGTGGAAAAACAGTAGAATTGTCCCCGCTCTCCTTATACAGCATGAAGGATTTTCTTAGGTAGAAAGAACACAATTCAACATGTTGGGGGGGGGGACACACAGGATGTTGGGAGCTACACTGGAGTCCCTCCTATGGCCTCTGGGCCATGCTTTGTCCATCCCTGTAACAGAAACATGTGAATGCAAAATCATACAGGAAACCATATAGGTGAAGTAGCTCCTCTTGCATTTCAAGCCTGGTATCACAATCATGGCCAAAGCACATGGGAAGCGACTCGCAAAAAGCAGCTTCTCACTTTGTAGGATCCTAAGGTCGATATTTATTACAAGCCAACCACTTGTGGGGCACTAAGGTGTGCATAAATGAGGTCTTTACTAGTTAGTAAAGAAAGAGAGAAACACAAGCTGGAAATGTCAGATAAGGCAATTTACCAAGAATGAAGAAGCAGAGCCAACTAATGACAAACTACAGTATCGATATGCTAACATTTATAATAATTCATCCATTGTTAACGAAAGCACAACATCCTCCTTCTTTGATTACTTGATCATGATATAAACTGTACAGTGAGATGGGCAGTGGTGGTTTCTTCTGTGACAGGGTATTCACACCATCTAATGTCTTAGAGAACTTCTAATCCGACCAGTGCAAGATTTATCATGTTATGCTGCACTTTGAAACAGCACATATTATGAGTAGCAAAATAAGTTACTTCTAAGGGGAAAGCCATGAAGGCTGTTGGCAGCCCCCAACAAGTAAAATCCCCAAATTTGGCCAATGAATTCCAGAAGAGGGAATCTAATTTTCCAGGGCAACATACTGCAAAAGCTAACCAGAGCATTTGTCCCCAGTTGGTTGTTCACACTATTTAGCAGGGTCAGAGAAATTCCTAGAGTTGCAATGGGTTCTCAAAAGTGTTCTAGGACAAGCCCCTCTGTCCTACAATGAAACGGACAAGTAATCAAAGATTGAAGGAATTTTTAAAAACATGAATCACAACAATGAAGGAAGGAAGGAAGTAATCAAACCTGCTGCAAAACAATGAAAGGTTCTGACTAATGGAATAATGTGTGATGGAACAGGTAGAAATCTGAAAATGCGACAGAAAAGCAGACCTCTTCTTAGAACTAGATGCAGAATTTGTGCTGACTCCAGGACCCATGCCGCTATACAAGGAGTCGGCCTCAGCAGGCTTTTTAACATAATCTCCCTGAGGAATTTGTCTAAAGCATAATGAACATTTTCAAGTCAGAAGCGAAAAGAACAACAACACATTACTATACTAAATGTACATACAAACACATACTTTTGTAACAACAGAGGGGGAAAGAGTTAGAGACTAAAATATTCTGTCGCAGAATAGTGTAAAAGAAGAGAATCAGGCTGCAGAATAAAACAGGTTTAAATTGTGTAATATGGAAATGCAATCTCTATATCTGATTAAGACAGATGTCCATCATAGTAAGTAGCTTCTGCTTAACATGCCTAAAAGGAAACTCCTTCAAGAAAATTAAAGGGCAGTTTGCTTTAATTGGGAGTAATCAGAGAGCTGCCAATCATGACCAACTGGGCATAGTTGAAGGGGTTATCCTATAGCTGTTTATTAACTGCAAATAATTTTTTCCCTTCCAAAACAGCCAAGCAAACAACACAAAGATGGCTTGCTCTTTTCTTCCCTTAAGAAATGTGTCAAAGAAAGGTTTCTCCATCTTCTTAGCTCTAGAAGCTATTTGTGTGCCATTCACGGTATATACAAACAATCCAGATTTCTGTCTCTAATATGAATCAAAATCTTGTGGGGAAATAGTTCAGTAGTACAGTGGTGCCTCGACTTATGAATTTAATTGGTTCCGGTCTGGTCATAACTCAAAATGGTCATTAAGTCAAAGAACCATTTCCCATAGGAATGCATTGAAATGCAATTAATCCATTCCAGCCAAAGGAAAAAATCACACACAAAAAAACCCCCACTGCAAGACATTAATCCATTCCGGCCGAAAAAAAATCACACACACACACAAAAAAACCCACTGCAAGATATTAATCCATTCTGGCCGAAAGGAAAAAGAAAAGAAAAACAAACAAACCATGCAAGACCCTTTGGAAATGAAAAAAAAAAAAAGCAAAAAGCGAACATAATGTGCAAGACCCATCAGAAGTAGGAGGGAAACCAAAAAACAAACACACCCTGCAAGAATCATCGGAAATGGGGGGGGGGAATCCAAAAAGCAAACAAACCCTGCAAGACCCATCGGAAATGGGGGAGGGGGACAAAAAACAAACAAACCCTGCAAGCCCCATCGGAAATGGGGAGAAAAACACTGCAAGACCCATTACAGCATAGAAACATAATCCCACCACCCAGCCCAAAACCACACTGCAAAATCCACCAAGAACAGTTTTTTGAAAGTAGAAAGCAGCAGCTTACCAGGCAGTCCAAATCGTCCTCTGGTTGCACACTCTCTAACTGCTGGGGCGAAAGAGCTACATAGAAGCAGCCTCTTTGCCACTAACAGTTAGCAATTTGAATCCCCCGCCTTTTTCCCCTGCCTTTTTCTGGTTGTAACTCGAAGCTTCGGCCACAGCTAGAAGCAAAATTTTGCGGCCAGAGCAGGTTGTAACTCGAAATGGTTGTATGTCAGATCGTGCATAAGTCGAGGCACCCATGTATTATTTTTACTACAGAGTCTATAGTAAATCTATTTAACTAGATTTACTTGACCTCACATTGGGAACAAAGTGTGCTTACAGTACATTAACTTCTCTCAGAAAAATATTGGCCAGAATCCTCCTGAGAATTTCCACACATGCAAGGGTAACGAGGCACGTTTTTCACTCCCGGAGTGGAGTTATCCTTTACACGATTGGTCATGTGACTGAGTATGTGTCCTACTTTGCAATCTAGTCATGTGAAGTACTACCCACTGAAAAAAGAAAACCACTTCTTCACTTGCTCTTCTGTTCCTCATTTCTTCAGGAAGATTTTGGCCATTGTCTTATATTTGCCTTGTGTGACTGAGGGTGGTAAAACAGATTTGTTTTTGAGGTAGCTTTTGAAGGAGACTAGCTTTAAAGTCACACATATGCTAAACCAAAGGATGATTCTAGAACTTTTTATCAACTGTTCTGCACACACATGTGTGTACCTTCAGAATATTATGTTACACAGTAACCAGAGCTAAGGGGAATGTTCAGTACCGTATGTACTAAAATAGTAAAACTATAATAGAAAATATACTCTGAGGATTTCTGTTCCTCCTAATTTTTTCTAAATGAAAGAACCCAATTCTTAAGATGTATATTAACAATGCAAGTAAAGGAACTCTATAAACTGAAGTAACTGCGGACCACATCGCCACATACACAAGGAACTTCCAACTGAGATGAATAGGCAAGCTTGCATGCTATATTTTAACACCATGCTATTGCCTCTAAAAAATTAGATCCTGAAGTAAATAATAAACAGGGATCACCATTTTATGCATTCTCAGTCAAGGTGGCCACACTGCTTTTTCACATACCTCTGTCTTCGATAGTTTCTTACAAGAGGAGAGAAGAGAGATAAAGAAAAAGTTACCACTTTGTATTTGCTTCTTCTATTCCATTCAGTGTTATAAACAAAGGCTCAGCTCCCATGACCTCAAAACAGATTTCTGTGGCAGCACCTTGTGCCACTTCTACACCACTCCCAAGATATTGTAGAAGGTCATGGCACCCTCAGAAACGGTGTGATTATAGCTACAAAGGAGGATGAGAACCCACTTCTTTGTAAATGGCTCCTATTCTTCTGCACCCCTCATGTGAAATCGTAGAGAATGCATGCATTTTTATTCTCTCTAAATTCAAGGTGTCTTAATCTTATCTGCTATGTTTTCAAGAAGTACCACACATCACACACAGAATTAAAATGGTTTGATTGTCTGTTATGGCCACAAAGAAGTTGACATGAGAGGAAAACATTTGAGTTAAGCAATTCTACGCAAGTAACTACTTGCAGAGATGAGAAGTGGAAGCATGTCAGAAGTGGTTAAAAAGCAAACAATTACATTTACTGCTTCCTCATTTGATCAACAAACATAGCAAGCTACCTTTATAGTCAGTGACATCACTGACTTACCTAGCCTGTTATTGGGTAGTATTGTCAATATGGGCTCTCCAGAGTTTCAGGAAGGATTCTTTCCTAGACCTAGATGGCAGGGATTGAACCTGTGACCCTTTCCATGCCAAGTCTGCGTTCTACCATTGGGTCACAGCTCTGAAGTCAAGTGTAACATGTCCTTTTGCCTACAATGTTGGACAATTCATACTGCCAGCAGCTAAAAGTAGCCATATATCTGATAGATTAAATACACACAGCCAAGCATTTACACAAAGCACTTACCTGTAACCCCATGCAGTTATGCCCAAAATTAGAGCCAACACTAAAATTGTACCAGCAATAGCGCCTATAATGATATTTGTGCTAATGACACCTGGATACGAAACAAAAACAAGAAGTCGGGTGTATTCTCATTTGTCAGAAGGAAAAAACACATTAAACTGCAATGTTTAGATTTCCTAAATCTAAATAATCTTTTTAAAAAAACATAAAATTGTGGAATAATCTCTCTCAAGGCTGCTTGCAGTAGCAAAGAACTGCACAAGATTTGAGACAAAACAGGCTAGTTAAACATGATTTTTCTTTGTCTGTTTAGCAGCTTTAGCACATTGTGCACAGCACACACTGTTTCCTTCACAAACGCTGGATGTCATCATGGCCACTTCCAAGTCATGATATCCAACCTCCGTCTTGAGAGGACTAAGAATAGAAGCTCTCGCAGTGTGCAAAATGCTTATGTGTGTGTTTGTGCAATGGCCTCAATTAGGGCCATGGCAAAAGAGACAAGAGGATTGTTAAGTTATTAATCAAAATTCCAATTCGGTTAATGATATCCAGTGATGTTTAAATGTATGGTTTATATCAGTGGTTCCCAACCTTGGGTCCCCAGATATTTCCAGTCTGCGACTACCATAAATCCTGGCCAGCACAGCTAGTGGTGAAGGCTTCTGGGAGTTTTAGTCCAAGAACATCCAGGGCCCCAAGTTTAGAAACCACTGGTTTATACGGTTTGGTAATTATAAAATGGAGGGCAGTGAGTGAGGAGCACAGAATGTTGGTAAGAATGCTTCTGATTGGCCAGGTGAAACTAGGGGAGTATTAGTGAAGTTTTGGAAGTAATCTGGTATGCAGAGAGAGGGTGGAGTTTGGAGTCTAGAGATCTGAGAGAAAAGTTGAACAGAAAAGTTTGTAAGATTGAGGGGGGGTAGGTAATAGAATGAGTGAAGGATTGTGCTGAATGAATTTATAATAGGAATAAACAGCATTGTTTTAACACTGTCATTTGTTCTATTCAAACTGAGTGGCATTGAGTTTAATGCCTGAGGGTTGGTCACGTGGAGGGTGTTATAAGGGTCAAAGAGAAGGGACAAATATAGACACACATAAAGGCAATTGAAGGTTGGGGTAGCAGAAAGAGGAAGAAAAGAACTGAGTGAAGATTATTAAACATATTTATTTCTGTGGTGATTTAAAGAGACCAACACCTCAATAGTCAAGCGACAAGGCAAGGGGAGATCTGACATCAGTATCAGAGAGAAGGGGTGTGACATGGGCCACTCTCTCCTTTAGCAGATGCTAAGTGTACTTGGTTTGGGACTTCAGTCAAAAATAAGTCTATAATCACCTGATCATTAACCAAAAAAAGTAAACGATACAACTTGCCTGTGACATTCTCATTTTCTTGAATGTTCAGTCCCAAGAGCTGCTTATTGCAGTCTGAACCCGTCCAAAACTGGTCACAGACACATAGCATTTCATGGCTGCAAACCTATGTAAAATTTATTCCAAAGTTTATAAAACAAATCAACCAACCAAAACCCACCAAAGCTCAACACTCTGATATGCATGTTCCTCACCATATACAATTCAGTCTTTAATTTGGGAAGAGGGCTCAACAAATTGAAAGGTTAAAAATGGCTTACTGTGCCTTTGATTTGCTTTTGATCCCTAATTAGCCAGTTGTATGCCCCCAAATCTGATTTGTAGTGACCCTAATAGGGCTTTCAAGATAAGTAAGATATTTGAGGAGTTGTTTTACCAGTTCCACTCCTTTCCACTCCTCCAGTCAGCTTTCCTAGGGCTTTCAAGATAAGTAAGATATTTGACGAGTTGTTTTACCAGTTCCACTCCTCTAGTCAGCTTTCCTGGTCGAGTGGGGATTTGAACCCTGGTCTCTAGAGTTCTAGTCCATCATTTCATCCACTACAGCTCAGTGAGTTAGTTAACTGCTCACAGAGCCAGAAGCTGGGATTTCAGTTCCCCACTGTGTATCCTAGAAGAGCCAGCCTGCAGGACCTTGGGCAAACTGCACAGCCCAGGATGCCCCTAGAAAAAGGGAATGATAAACCACTAGTATTCTATACCTAGAATACATGGAAAAGGGTCACCATAAGTCAGAATTGACTTGATGTCCCATGATCTTTTTGATCCCTATGTTTGTTGAAACACCACTCCCACCATCCCCACAGAGCACTGCTATTCTGGAAAGCCACTCACCCACCCCTGAGCAATATGTGGGACGGTGCTCCTACTTCACTGAGGAGTTAACTCTTTTTTTTAAAAAAAACATGTTCAAATAAAGGCAAGCCATGGATGACTCTTGGAACAAGCCCTATTCAGATTCTAAACTACAAGCAGGCCAGCAGGGGGAGTGTTCCGGCTGCAAACAGCGTCTCCATTCCTAAATCCATCATCATCCAGGATTCAGTTCTCTCTTGTTTGTTTTATCACTCTGTTCAAAAGGCACATACAAATATGAAAATGCTTGCATGCATATGCACATGCATGTGTGCGCATGCATGTGCACAAGCCCTATTCAGATTCTAAACTACAAGCAGGCCAGCAGGGGGAGTGTTCCGGCTGCAAACAGCGTCTCCATTCCTAAATCCATCATCATCCAGGATTCAGTTCTCTCTTGTTTGTTTTATCACTCTGTTCAAAAGGCACATAGAAATATGAAAATGCTTGAATGCATATGCACATGCATGTGTGTGCATGCATGTGCTTGTGTGTGTGTGCGTGCACACACCACACACACACACACACACAGAGGTATATTGCCTGAGGACTTTTAAATACTTTTTTAAAAAAAGGGAATAAATGCATCACCACCTTCCCACTCCAGGACATTAAAAAATAAACATACTCCATGTCCTGAACAAATCTTTCCTTCTGTACTTCCTGGGCAGGAGGAGAAATTAAAAGAATCCACAGAAAGACATCGATGTTCCCAGCATATCCTTCCATCACCACAAGATGTTCCATCTTCTACATAGCCAAGGTCTGCATCTTCTTCTAGCTTAACATGAGCACCACTGCAAAAGGAACACAAGAGCTTCTAACACAGAACACCAAACATCCAAAACACAGGATACCATACATCACAGGTTGCATATTTTCTCTCTGTCTCTGTCTCTCTCACACACATACACACACAGCTGTATATTTTCAAAAGTACAGAACATTGACCAGAATCCTATTGCTACTTCGTTCTGTTTCTGTGACGTGCTGCAGCTAATTGTGACTAACTGAAAAGGTGCTGGGATGCATCTCAGTGGTGCGCCTGGTTGTGCACTCAATTGCACAAGCAAGAGGTGCTTTGGCAACTTGTCCATTAGTGGAAATTAGCCATGGCAACCTACACAAATACTACTAAGACTCTAACTATTACTTTTTTCAACTAATTTCTGACTTGCCCAGCCATCACATTGGCTGGGGCATTCTGCACACTGTAGTTAAAAAAAATCTAGCTTTTCCATACTCTATGTATGTTTATGGACAAAGAGCAATGTTTTCTTACAAAGCAAAGTGTTCAGCTAACTAGAAGTTATAGTTCATATATTACCCATAATAAGAACAGGAATGTCTATAGTATCTGAACCAGAGCTCTAAGATCATAATGCATAAACACTAGAAGTGCATAAGAGAAGGCATCAAGTATATTATTTGGCTTGATGCATTAATTAATGCTAATTTATTTAAGTATGTCTTGAGTTTGAAGCCTACAGCATTCCATTGCTAGTGACAGACTTCTCTAAACAGTACAGGTTTGTGGCTGCTATGATTGATTTATAGCATTTTGACGCCACTTTTCCTTTTTAAAAAATCTCGAAAGCAGTTTATGACAAATGCTGTAAAACGAACAGCTAAAAAACACCAAACAATAGAATAACTGTTTTGTTTTGCAACAATAAAATCAATGAAAAACAATGGATAAGTGGAAACCTTAGTTATCAGAAAAACAATTAAGAAGGGATTGGGCTTCACTCAGCTGATATCAGCACAATGCCTCCATGTGCTTAATTTCCATTGAAGCTTTCCACATTCTAGGTTAAGGTCTATTCCAGCCCATATAAATCCAGATAGGTCCACTAATTAAAAAGACAACAAAGGTATCCCTTTGACGAAAGTTAACTACTGCAATCTCTGATCATAATTCGGTATGGAATTCAGCATCCTCCAGTCTGCCCTGAGCATGTGTAGGATGATTTCCTCCTTGGACATGCAGGTGTGGAGGGATTACCTGCATGTATAGGACTTGTCTAAATGCTGGAGAGAAACTGATGTGATGTCGCCGTCAAGCTCTCCAAGTCGCGGGATGTTAGACACGATATTGGAGCACAGAAGATACCCACAAAGAGCGTCCCTGGACGGAAAGGTAGAAGCAAGTTGTGTTTTGTTTAAAGCCACAAAAGAAACAAGTTGTGGTGACTGAAATGAAGAAATGCCTAAATCATCCCCAATCTGTAAGAGCATCACTGTCTTAATTGGACTTTTGCTTGCCACCCTCAAAAACACTGAAATCTGCAAAAAGAGGTGCCAGAGAAAAATCTACAATGTTATTTACATCTTTTCTCCTACTTAGTCTTCACTGCCCATCTGCAACTGTCTCATTTACACACTACTTTTCTGTACAGCTTTTATACTTCAGTGTCATACTAAAGTTGAAAGTGCAATAATTCCTCATGATAGTTTCCATAGCCAGCCCCTGAAAAGGGGGAGTCAAAAACTGCAGACAGCTGGATCAGACCATAGTAACAAATGGGTATGCCTTTTGTAAACTTAATTGCTCTTAGTTGGCCATTCTAGATCACCTAGCCTCCAATATTTTGCATTACAACAGGGATAGCTTGCAACAATATACTGTACTGTCCCTGAAAAAATCCATTGTCCCCTCAGCTAATGTGAGGACCGCAGCTAAAATCAGAGAGAACCAGGAAGCCGGGGGTGGGGGGGTGATGAGAGATGATATCATGCTGATCAGACAGACCCTGTGAGCCCTGGCTCTACAGAACCTCTGCTTCTCTCTATAGGATACTACAAGTGAAATTCAGCTCAATGCCGGATATAAGATGATATAGATTATTTTTCCCCATGTGAAAGAGTCACGTTGTATGAGGTTACATCGAAAAGTCATTTTAACCACTTTTAATTATTTATTATTGACTTATAAATGCATTTTAAAGATATTTATTCATATATAGAGTATATTTAATAAAAATGAAGTGCAAATATGTTTTGATATGCCTTCATTAAGATAAACATGGGAACTTAGGGTCATCATCAAGCTGGAGATGAGCAACCCTGAGCACGGAAAAATCATTATTTATTTTTTTTGGACCACAATTCCCAGGATTCCCTGCAATCCTAGAAATCATGCTGGCTGTGAGATTGCGGGAGTTTTAACCCAAAAAGGAATTTTGCAGAACTCTCACAAGTTCGATTCCTTCCATCCAACACTCACCATCTCCCAAGGTAATTGGTTCCATTGTTGTACTACTCTAACAGTTGAGATGTTTTCCCCAATATTTAGCCTAAATCTGGCTTCTCATAGTTTGAGCCTATTATTACATGTCCTGCACTCTGGGATGACTGAGAACAGATCCTGCCCCTCCTCTGTATGACTACCTTTCATGTATTTGAAAATATTCCCCTCAGTCTTCTTTTCTGAAGGATAAATATGCCCAGTTCTTTCCGTCTTTCCTCACAGAGTTTCCAGTTTCCTCAGAGTCTTAGCAGGTGTTCAATCCAGCCCTAGTAGAGAGGGCCAGCTGAAAGACCTGGATATCACGGGTGGAAGAGGATTAAACATGCAAGCAGATTTGGGAACTGGTGGTTAGATCAGATTTGGGAACTGGTTGTTAGATCTGGCTATTTGCAAACATTACAGATTTGTGAACAGTCACCGAAATTAAAAAATATATATCAGGGAATGATGTAAACAGAGAGGTATAACTTACTCAGTAGTGCACTGTGTCCAAGTGTCTCCACTTCTGCCACAGTTACCTTTTTCGGTTCCTTCTATATTCAGTTTCTGATAGCAGTAGTTATCAGCAGCTGTCACTTCTAAAAAAAAAGATATACATTTCTTTAGACTCAGGGTGGCCATGTTGTTGCCCTCCAGATGTTGTTGGCCTGTAACTCTCATAACCCCTTGCCACTGGCTGTACTGAATGAAGCCAACGGGACTTGCAGGCCAAGATTCCTTGGGAGAAGAGGGCCATATTTGCCCACCCCTGCTTTAAACCAATGGTGTGGATATTTCATTTGCAAGACAAGCACATGCAAACACACTTGTTAACGCTTTCTTGGAACTTTTAAGGAGCATCATAAAAAATATCTATCGTAAGTATACAAATATTATCTGTCAACATAAATAATTGAAGATGTAGAAATGTGGAACAGAGGAACACTAAATAAGAGATAAATTGACTCAATAAAGGAAGAAACAATCTTTTGTCTTCAAAAGCTAAGTAGGGCTATTGATGACAGGACTCTCTGAAGGACACTAATTTATAGGGTCACCATAATCAGACAGCACTTAACAACAACAACAAAGTGGACAATTCAGAGAGCTTACTCACTTTCTCCCCAAATGTATTTACACTGTCTGTCTCTTGTTTTACATCTTCCTCCAAAACAAACACCCTAAAGAGAAAATTTAAAAGGACATAATCCAATAAGACTTTATCCTCATTTGCTGCTTTTCTACTTTCCTGGGGACAAAAGGGAAAAGCAATTTAATACATCAAGAGCAGCACAATCCTTTGCATTTCTGCTTAGATGTCAATCCCACTGATTCAGCCAAGTTCTTTCAGGCAAGTTTTTGAACAAAACTAGCTCTGGTCTCCTTGGGTCTAGGATAAAGGCTATCTTACAGCTACAATGTAAAGAAGAAGAAGAAAAACCAAATTAAAGGACCGCAATACTTACTTCTTCATTATCGCAAGAATAACCATCCATTTTGTGCAGATTTGGGGAACACTAAATAAGATCAACACAGAAATAAGATAAATATGAAAAAGCAGAATAAGACACATCAGAAAGAACAACATAATAAACTGGCCAACAAGAAAGTTTTTAAACCAACACTATTGTATTTAAAAAGATTGAAAACGAAACTTTTCAAGCTTGGGTTTTGGCTGGGCAACATCTGTTTTCTTCATTACTGGATCAACAGAGCATTACGGAATCATCATGCTGTTGATTCTGTTACTGAGAATTCAGAACATGAATTACTCTTTCAGTTTGAAACTTTACCTGACTAGAGTCTCCTGTGCAACTCTCAGGAATATCACAATCGTTTACAGCTTCTCTGCATATAACTCCTTTGGCTTCAAGCTAAAGCAGAATAAGACACATCAGAAAGAACATAATAAGCTCGCCAACAAGAAAGTTTTTAAACCAACATTATTGTATTTAAAAAGATTGAAAACGAAACTTTTCAAGCTTGGGTTTTGGCTGGGCAACATCTGTTTTCTTCATTACTGGATCAACAGAGCATTACGGAATCATCATGCTGTTGATTCTGTTACTGAGAATTCAGAACATGAATTACTCTTTCAGTTTGAAACTTTACCTGACTAGAGTCTCCTGTGCAACTCTCAGGAATATCACAATCGTTTACAGCTTCTCTGCATATAACTCCTTTGGCTTCAAGCTGAAAAAGAACAAACAATATCTGAGAATATTTGTAGCCTTTCAAAAGTTTAAAGTCAAAACAACACAGGTCATTTGTGTGTGTGTTCTTTGAACATCTGTTTTCTTCATTACTGGATCAACAGAGCATTATGGAATCATCATGCTGTTGATTCCGTTACTGAGAATTCGGAACATGAATTGCTCTTTCAGTTTGAAACTTTACCTGACTCGAGTCTCCTGTGCAACTCTCAGGAATATCACAATCGTTTACAGCTTCTCTGCATATAACTCCTTTGGCTTCAAGCTGAAAAAGAACAAACATTCTTCATTACTGGATCAACAGAGCATTATGGAATCATCATGCTGTTGATTCCGTTACTGAGAATTCGGAACATGAATTGCTCTTTCAGTTTGAAACTTTACCTGACTCGAGTCTCCTGTGCAACTCTCAGGAATATCACAATCGTTTACAGCTTCTCTGCATATAACTCCTTTGGCTTCAAGCTGAAAAAGAACAAACAATATCTGAGAATATTTGTAGCCTTTCAAAAGTTTAAAGTCAAAACACCATGGGTCATTTGTGTGCATATGTTCTTTGTGTCCAATATAACTGGGGCTCTAACATATGTTTTGAGGGAAACAGGAGGTGGATTTTTCAAGTGCCCAGCTATCGAAAAAGGGTTAAATGCTGTCCCTCTTGATAAATCACACAATTCCAGTGACAGTGACCTACATAAAATAAACATAACAGATGTGACTGAAACTGTTCTGTGGATTAATAACCTTCAATTTAGACTAAATCGGATGTGACCAAATTCAAACAGAAATCATTTTAGGGACCAAACATATTTTTGTTATACATTGATGATTGACTGAAACTGTTCTGTGGATTAATAACCCTCAATTTAGACTAAATCGGATGTGACCGAATTCAAACAGAAATCATTTTAGGGACCATACATATTTTTTGTTATACATTGTTGACACTATATGCAGCACTATAATGTTCTGTTATAATGATCTCTAATGCTGTGTTCCTTCCTGATTCACAACTTGAGAATCTGTACATCCAATTCATAAGTATCAATCTCTGCTCCATGATTATAATGGCCCATGTGTTGTCAGAGAACTAGTTGGGATAGATAACAGAGAATAAAGAAAAGGCAGTTATCATTTTTCCATCTCCGTTGTGGAGATGTGCCACTATGTATTTTGTTTGTCTTTTGCTACTTCACACACTTGAAGAATGTTTTTTTTTTCTGCTTTTAGTGGATTGAGTAATGGATTAGGACTCAGGAACCCTGATTTTGAATCCCATCTCAGCCATGGAAACTCACTAGGGGTGTAGAACTGGTAAAACTATTCCTATTCATTTACCTTGAAAGCTGTGCTAGAATTGCTGTAAGTCAGTTCTGACTTGAAGACATGTAACAGTCGTTATCATTTTTCCATCTCCGTTGTAGAGATGTGCCACTATGTCTTTTGTTTGTCTTTTGCTACTTCACACACTTGAAGAATGCTTTTTTATTGCTTTTAGTGGATTGAGTAATGGATTGGGACTCAGGAACCCTGGTTTTGAATCCCATCTCAGCCATGGAAACTCACTAGGGGTGTAGAACTGGTAAAACTATTCCTATTCATTTACCTTGAAAGCTGTGCTAGAATTGCTGTAAGTCAGTTCTGACTTGAAGACATGTAACAGTCAAGGGACATAGACGTCTCTGCTGTATTTCAGGAGTGGTCATTGGAGATCTCAAGCAAAGAATTCTAATTACAGTGGGGTCTTGACTTGAGAACTTAATCCGTATTGGAAGGCGGTTCTCAAGTCAAAAAGTCTGTAAGTCAAGTCTCCATTGACCTACAGTGCATTGAAAACCGATTAATCCCGTAACAGGCCGTTTTTGTTCCATTTTGGTTTTTTTCTGGTCTGTAAGTCAGATCTCAGTCTGCAAGTCAAACCTAAATTTTGCAGCCAGAGAAGTCTGTAACTCAAAAAGTCTGTAAGTCAAGCCGTCTGTAAGTCAAGGGTCCACTGTACTGTAACTCACCACATGGCAAATACTTCATTGGAGATCTCAAGCAAAGAATTCTAAATACTGTAACTCACCACATGGCAAATACCAGGTTTCCATAAGATGGATTCATGAGAGTTAAAGTGGCAACAAACTCTCAGAACTGTGATGTGCAGGCACATTCTCTTTCATAATTGCACATTCCAGACCTTCAAACTGTTTTCCAGTGCCATTTAATTACATACCTGACATTTTCTACAGCAAAGCCCATTACTGCACTGAGAGTTAGCAGTTAGAGTGCAGGAATTACAGCATTCTCCACCTTCAGCAGAACATTCCTGTTAAAGTAGAAGCAACTGTAAAACAGCAGTTTGACATGCTTACATCTGTAAAGCTATCTGCCATTCCGTTTTATATGTCACACACACTCCAGAAAGGAGAAATATGATGACCTGGGGGAGTACGCTGGGATGGTTAACAAACCGCACCAAGCATGAGAGCTAATTCGGTGAGACTAAATCTTGGGGAGCCTCCGTGCAATATGCTCCTCAGTTGTGAAGCTCAAAGCTCATATTGGTGACCTTGGGCCAGTCACCATCTGTCAGCACGAAATGACTACACCGAGCCAGGCAGATAAGAACCATATGCAGTGCCCCGAACAATCTGGATGAGAAGTTTCCCCAATGAAAAAAAAGAAATAAAATGTAAAAACTGCCACCACTGCTGCTGGCTGGGGTATTCTGAGGCATGTTTTTTCCCCCCCAACAACCCCTTTCCCTGTCTCTGGCATCAAGGCTTTAAGTAAATAAATAGATACTGGGTGGGGTCATGCTTAGAATCGGCTTCACTATATAGTCAGCTTTGCTGATACAGTAACGAGATTCAACCACCAGCCTTGAAGGCATCTGTGAATCAAAGGGCAAGGAAGCTCATCCTCTCTTTCACCTCAGGCAGCAAAGCATCTCGGGCCTGCTTTGTTGGAGAGCCATTTTTGCACCCACAAAAAGACTGCGTGCACATAGGGTGCCCTATATAATTGTGCTATAGAACAATTCTTCAGTTTATACAGGGGCAAGGTTTTAAAAAGTCACATGAGACAGGGCACCAGGAATGACCATAATTTCAATAAAAATTCAGCAAGTATTTTTTGTGTGTCATTCTTCCTGCACCCCTCTGGAAGAGTGACACAAATGGAGCTGTAAACAGATGATACAGCATCTCATTCCAGAGCCTGGGGGAAAAAATCACCTTTTCAAATACAAATCCCAGAATCCCCTAAACTATGACCATTGGCTCTGATTCATCCTACACTGTTCAGTCAGTTGGCCTATATTTCTGCTAGAAATCACAGCATTGTGATTATAAACCTGTTATACTCATCTGTTATGACACATTACTGACAGTCAGGAAGTTGCTTAATGTCACCAAGGGGACATTATCACAGCACAGAACAATAGTCTGTGACAGGTAAGGAAGGAACATATGCCCTTTTTCAACAACTTTCCTACGGATTTTTGACATGACTCCCAATTGAAGAAATAGAGCCAGATCTTGCTGTTGTGGTTGTGAATGTTTCCACATCTGCTTTCTCCATAGAGAAGGCACAACAGTTGAAATCCTCTTGCGTAATTACACAGCCGTAAGTGGCAACAACATCATTATTAGCCTGTGACATTAATTTTTAATTTAATTGGACATAATCTAATTTAAAGCTTCCTAACCACCTTCTCAAGGTTCCGAGACTCCCTAGAGATACTTTTTCACCTGGGGAAGCTTTTGGAATCCAAAAAAATCACTACCGGATTGCTGCCAGTGGTCCTGATCCCAGCAACTGCTAATAAACTACTCATTGGAAGACTTACTGCTGAAGTGCCACAGTCACACTCTTCTCCAGCTTCCACAAAACCATTGCCACATTCTGGAGGATCAAGGAGCTGCAAATTAACATTGCAAGTGTTGGTATGACTTATATACCTTAAAAAGTAGGAGGTTTCTTCTTGAATTATTTCCTCATTAATTGTACACTCCTTAGCCATAATAATTAGAGCTAATTCATCCATTCAATATTCATGAGCACGAAGTGTGTAAGAGAACATCTCAAGAATGTGCCAGCTAGTCCCACTTATGTAGCAATCAATGTTTCATTGTGGAGCCAGAGGTTGGGAGTTCAATTCCCCCCTGTGCCTCCTTGATAGGGGCTGGACTCAATGATCCACCAGGTCCCTGCCAGGGACTTCTAAGAATATATTATTGTCATTATATTATCTTGTCACACCAAGGTTTATTCTGGTTTTTATATATCACACTGAACTACAGACTACTGCAGTGATGGCTCAGAGTACCAGTAAGAGTTTGGATATTGCATCATACCAAAATTTCAGATAGAGCATCCCTGCATTGATCATGAGTTAGAAGTGGCCCGGCATGACATGTTAAGGACAACCATATAGCTGTATCTATATCTGTATCCACATCTTTTCATGTATATACATACACAAACGCATATACAGGAGATCAAAGAAGGGAGATAAAATGTTAATGCGGATAAACTAGAGCTATCCTAATCCATACCGAGATAAAACACAAAGTTAAACTGACCTATAGATAGCTTCTTTTATCACAAATGATTAAGCAAGATTTCCAGGGTGGGTGGGAAGAAGATTGCATACTTAAAAATAGACAGATGTATGTTAACCTACACGAATCAATGAATAAGAAGAGATTTATCATCTCCATCTGCCACTGGGTCTTTTTTTAAAAGCCTGAACACATGACCTGTGCTAAGTTAAATGTAATGCCACACAATATAACAACTCAAGCCATGAAGCTTAGCCCTTCGTTATGCACAACAGACTGTAGAAATAAGTCCATGTGCACTTTGTTTTAAAGATACTAAAAAGCTTAATGCTGATTCTTGATGAGATGCTTCCTCACCAATACCAAAAGGGCAACACACAAATCTTCTGTGTGTCCATCTGATTTCCCCTCGTATACATATTTTAAAAAGAATTTATTACAGCTCACAATACAAATAAAACAACCAAATAAATAATTTTAGAACTGCAGAGCTGGAAGTGACCCTATGAATCATCGAGTCCAGCTCGTGTCAGGGAGGCACAGCAGGGAATCAAACTCCCAACCTCTGGCGCCATAGCCAGATGTTTAAACCAAGAGAGAATAATTTAAAGATGCACTAAAATGCCCTTATATATACATAAACACATACAAATGCAAAATACCTGCACAACACTATCAATATACAATAAATTTATTGAAAACTTATCAGATTATTTCTTAGACAACATTCTGTCTTTATGGCTCAACATGAGAACACAGCAGCTGCTTTGGCAACAGAGAAATATGTCTTGAAGACAGAAGGTTTTCAGCCATTAGGATGATATATTAGCAAGGAATTTAAAAGAGGAATCTGGAAATCATATCTAAGGCCATCAGATAAATGACAAAAAAGCAGTATATGACATTCCGCTTCAATTTCATTAGCACCAAGGGGACAAACATCATTGTGACGGGGAACATGATATAAAATGAGAGCAACCTGTTGTTTCATCTTAATGTGAAGGTTTTCCTGGATCTCTGAATTGTATTGTATTTTTACATAGCTTGAGGAAACCTCAGTCACCAGGGAAGCCATTTTTTAAAGATAACACATACATAATACTGCCAGTGTCCTTTTAAACTGCATTTACATATTTCCCACAAACACACTGAGCTCTTTCTCCATCTAAACAACACCTGCAAACCTAAACACACACAATTTTGATTCAGGCATTATAGAATGGGAAGTTCTAAACCTCTTCAGAGGGGAGGATTTGGACCAATAAAATGCAACAAAACCCAAACTCCTTTATTTCAATATAAGGGTTATCATACTGAGATAATGACAGAACAATAGTAAAGGTTATCTTTCACTGTATGAAAGTATTATTACCTTGGAAGGCTTATTGAAAAGGCAGGCCCCACCTCCATTATTTAAAAATTCATGATATTCTTCAACATCACATTTGGAGAACTTGGTTGGAAGGTAATAGCTGTGTTGAAGAAAAAAGCAGGTTAATTCAAAAGCCTCATTTAGACTCATAAAAGTTCCTGAAAGGCTTCCATAGGATGGGAAGTGCTTCTGTCGGAATGGAGACTTTTTTGTCCGTTGTTTTATTAAGCTATTTCATGTCTAATTAAAACCAGCAGGAGGAGTCTTATCAAAATGACTGCATTTTCTGGGGCGATATTCTATCCTAGATAATTTAATTAAGTTTTCCCTTTCTCCAGCTTCTATTATTCATATCTGCAAATTATCTGGAGCAGGCAGGAACACTGGCAAGATGAAATAGAATGCTATTGAGATCATCAGCATGGGCTTACTCACTTGTAACAAGGCACAGAAGATGGAAAGTGCACAGTTTAAAATGTCATCAAAGAGGTAAACAATTAGAGCATACATAGGAAAAAGAACTTGGCTCATTAGTGGAGCAGAAAACTTCTGTGAGGTTTGAATTTAGCTGACATTACGCATATGCTTCAGAGAGATTGATTAGCCTGGAGAACAACTATTAATTTCAGTAGGAAGCATATCACTGGTGCTTTTCACTTGTCTAAGCTCATTGGAAAAGCAAGCCAAGGGCATTTTAACTCTTAAATGCTTATATTTAGCAACATACAGTTGCCCTATTCAGTCAGTGATAATCATGTATGCTAGTCATGGTAACTGAGCAGCATTCTGGCTCTGCCCCTCTGTTCCCAGTTTCATCATTCTCCTATATGCAGAGAGCTATGTGTGTGAAGAAAAGAGGCTTTTCATGTGAGTCAAAAGAAAATTTTCCCAGGGTTTCAATTCTGGTTGAGATCTGTGACTCCAATTTCAGGTGTTGTGCATCTGCTCTATATCTGCTCTGCATTTTATTCTAGACTTTGCAGGAGCTATCCCCCACACTGAACCTTACCCCTGAAACAATCCAATGGTTCAAAGGATGGCTATAAAAATGCTGCAACTGATTCTCCTCACATATTGTAACTACTACACAACTAATTATCTGTTATATACTCTTTTATTTGCATTTTGTATATTTTAGCAGTACAATATGTTTTACAAGCTGGACACCTGACCAGAATAAATAATATCCCTGAAATATGTTCAGCACCTCTGACAGCTCCTGTGATGTTCAGACTAAACTTTGGAGTGGATTTGCAGCACCTCTAAAACTGGAGTCACCAGTCTTCCCTGCTGACACTCATGCCCCTCCATGGACAATAGTGTCTCATTTTCAGATTCACTACTGCTCATGTATAAGAGAGTGATGAAACCAGAAACAGGGGAAGCCAAAGTGCTCCCCTTACTCTTGGAGCGTATAGGAACTGTTAATGACTGGATAAGGCTAATGTGAAATTACTTATGTCCGTGACATTGCCCTCAAATCATACAAGATTGGAACTAGTTTACAGCAATAAAAACGACACAATCCCATTTTAAAAAACCATTAAAACTATATGAAAAAACAATTAAACATTTCTCAATATTAAATTCAAAATAAAAAATTAAAACATGGTTTAATAACTATAGCAATCCTGAGATTCCCACTTATTGCTTAAAAGGGAAGGTCTTTGCCTGATGACAGAAGGAAAAGAGGTAAGAGCCAACCTGGCTTCTTGGAGCAGTATATTACAAAGCCTGGGAGCAGCCACCGAGGCTACTGTTATCAAGTGCTATCCTTCTCCTGTCTCTCTAAGTCCCTCCAATGATACCTGTGCAGAGCCAGCTGCCTCAAGTAGCAGATAATAGAAGAAAAGCTATGCATGCAATATATGAAGGGCATACCCTTTGGGGAGCTGTGATAGCCACCTGCCCTTGGGTGCTGTAGAAGATGTACTGAACAACTTTATATAGAATGGGAAAGAGCACCATCTTGTTCATCTCAGGGAGCAAAATGCCTTGGACCCAATCTACATGAATATAAACATCTGCCTTCTAGAAAAGCATAAACTTTGACCACTTTGGATCTTGTGTCTCCCTCTGTTTACATCCACATTTTCTCATACTTATAGCAGACACACTGGAACCAGGGTGTAAGTCACCCCTAGATATCCCACTGCCCAGAATCCTACTACTGTTCACATTAGGTTACGCAAACTGTGTCTAACTGATCAGCTGCTAGGCTGTGTCTCCAACATGTGCCTAATCATACACTTGATTGCAAAAAGGCACGAGCTTTGGCACCTCACTAATGAGTTACAATTAACCAAGGCAAATTACACAGACCTTAGGCAAACATCAGTAGGAATCTGGCCACCGATTTCAATTAATCCACTCAAAGTAAGACTGACTGTGGATCCAACCCAATGTAACTTTGACAATGTCCTGGCCTTATAAGTTATTCCTACTAGCAAGCTCACATATTTCTGTTTGCAATTTCATGTATGTGGCTCCTTCTGCTGTTATATATTTAGTATATTTACTAGCTACCATAATGGTGGTGATGATGATGATGATGATGATGTGCCATCAAGTCAATTCTGACTGATGGCAACATATGGTTTTCTAGGTAAAGAATACTCGGAATTGCTTTATCATTCCCTTCTTCTGAGGCCACTCTCAGACTGTGCAGCTTCCCCAAGGCTACACAAGTGGGCTCTTCTCCCAGGAGATACAGTGAGGAATCAAATTTCCAACCTCTGGCTCTATAGCCAGATATCTAAACTACCGAGCTATCCAGCTATTTATAATATGATTCATGCCATCTGCTAATTTATGCTTCCACTGCACATAAATTTCTGAAATATCTTACCCGGTGTCTCCCATTATGCACCCAGACCATGTATCCTCACACTTGCATTCACCTAAAATAAATGCAATAAATAAATCAAACTTGCTTTGTTATTTAAGATTTTTTAGTTAAAAGTATTTCTGAAAACATCAGTTAGCAAACCCTTTTTTAGAAGTATGTTCTTCAACTTGATATAATGTAAGCTGTAAAAATCAACCATATGAGCACTGCTTTATTTTTTTTAAAAAAACTGTTGCTAATTGTTTCTTTCACATGACTTCAATAAAACATTCAAATAATAAAAATAAAAAATAATAGTATATAAACAGATAAACGTGCTCATGCTGGCGCTCGTTAAGCAAGGCACCACTGTACTCGGAACTGCCTTATCATTCCCTTCTTCTGAGGCCTCTCTCACACTGTGCAGCTTCCCTAAGGCTACACAAGTTGGCTCTTCTCCCAGAAGATACAGTGAGCAATCAAATTTCCAACCTCTGGCTCTATAGCCAGATATCTAAACTACTGTTCAACTATTTATAATATGATTCATGCCATCTGCTAATTTATGCTTCCACTGCACATACATTTCTGAAATATCTTACCCAGTGTCTCCCATTATGCACCCAGACCATGTATCCTCACACTTGCATTCACCTAAAATAAATGCAATAAATAAATCAAACTTGCTTTGTTATTTAAGATTTTTTAGTTAAAAGTATTTCTGAAAACATCAGTTAGCAAACCCTTTTTTAGAAGTATGTTCTTCAACTTGATATAATGTAAGCTGTAAAAATCAACCATATGAGCACTGCTTTATTTTTTTTAAAAAAACTGTTGCTAATTGTTTCTTTCACATGACTTCAATAAAACATTCAAATAATAAAAATAAAAAATAATAGTATATAAACAGATAAACGTGCTCATGCTGGTTGGCATATTTTGGGAGCTCTACTCCAAGAAAGTAACTTTTCCTATCTCTATAACTACCACAGAATATGTTTGCAGCTTTCTCCTCACTATTGCTAAACATGTGTTAAATATCTGGGTTTTCTAATTTACTTTTAAACAAATCCACACCTATTTTTACATTAAAAATTGGATGTTATATTTCTTTAGTATTTTAATCTAGTTGGCATATTTTGGGAGCTCTACTCCAAGAAAGTAACTTTTCCTATCTCTATAACTACCACAGAATATGTTTGCAGCTTTCTCCTCACTATTGCTAAACATGTGTTAAATATCTGGGTTTTCTAATTTACTTTTAAACAAATCCACACCTATTTTTACATTAAAAATTGGATGTTATATTTCTTTAGTATTTTAATCTATTTTATGCCACTGTTCACACTAACTGTATCAAGGTTTTTTTGCCTTAAAAGGTAACACAGAAGTATTTTAAATAAGTATTTTTGCCATTCTGGTAAATCCATACCTTTAAAAAAAATCAAACTCCTTACCACTCTGCAGTTTTCTTTTGTCTGAGAAGATTCCAAGGTTGTGAGCTAAGGACTGGGCCAATGTAACTGACATTAAATCTGCCTTCCCAAACTGAAAAGCAATAATAAGTAATAATTTTTAAAAGAAGATATCAAAATAATTGTCCCAAAGCAACAGATGAAGCACATGTTTGTGCCATTTCTTCCTATAGATCAGTGGTCCTCAACCTTGGGCCTCCAGATGTTCTTGGACTTCAACTCCCAGAAATCCTGGCCAGCAGAGGGGGTGGTGAAGGCTTCTGGGAATTGTAGTCCAAGAACATCTGGAGGCCCAACGTTGGGGACCACTGCTATAGATACAGTTTGAACTGCAGATTAATACCAAGTGAAAATTATAAAGCATTCTTCCAAGAACTGGCCAAATAATAGATGTAATTTTTTTATCATTAGGTCAAAAATGTTTAGCCCTCAGAAGATGACAAGAGCCTATCAGGATCTTGAAGACTGAGAGGACACCTTGGCTACTCATCCCATCACCAGAGTCTGGAAAAATCATTTTTTTAAAAAAATTATTCATTACAATTTTTAGCTAGGGCAAAACAGTAGGTACTTCAGTATCTAGTGCCAGGCAAATTGGGATTTGTTTCACTTCCCCCTGTACTGTAGTCTTACAACACACGAAAAGCCCATACCAGGAGGTTTTCTAAGAGCCGTAGAGCAGTTTTTGGCCACACGGAGTCTGTGGTGCTAAAGTGAGCAAAAATAATGATTCTTTTAAAAGCAGTGGGATCCACTCTAAATTTACCATTGGATTTTTGCCTTAGTTCTAAATCTCAAGAAATTAGCTGGTCATCCATATGACAATTTAAAAGCAAGTTGTTAGTTTACTGTTTAGCAGAAGCAAATAACAAGCCTGGTTTAACAACATAATTCTGTGAATGCTACAAGCTGTGCCTTCTGGTTCACCTCACTGTCTTCTCCACGTCGTTGTTTAGTCATTTAGTCATGTCCGACTCTTTGTGATCCCATGGACCAGAGCACGCCAGGCCCTCCTGTCTTCCACTGCCTCCCGGAGTTGTGTCAAATTCATGTTGGTAGCTTCGATGACACTGTCCAGCCATCTTGTCCTCTATCGTCCCCTTCTCCTCTTGCCTTCACACTTTCCCAACATCAAGGTCTATTCCAAGGAGTCTTCTCTTCTCATGAGATGGCCAAAGTACTGGAGCCTCAGTATTGGAATCTTCTCCACACCCACCCCAAAATATGACCCAGCATTTGAACCATGGGAACCATTCTTCCAAAACCATTTAGTGACGCAAAACCCTCATTACTATATAAATAAATTTAAAGGTTGAGTCTATAGCATGAAGGGTGTGAGACCACCATCGTTACAACCATAACACTACTTAATTTTATCTTTACGCTTGGCAAAAGAATTAAGGATAAGTAAACAGCTTTTTGTAATTATTTACTTCTAAGCTCATAGACAGATATACTTGTTCCTGAGGTTATAGATCAGTGCTTGAGCATCTTCATACTTAAATACCATAATATAGCCTAACAAGATTCAAGAGGAAAGGGCATTCATTCATTTGCTCACGCATTCTGGAGAATAAGGAAAGAGTGGATATTAATCCTGGAAATCCCTGAACATGGAAGATTACATGTTCTATGAGGGCAGAACTAGAGATAATTTTGAAAAATTGACATGCAACAAAATGTATCGGTTGTTCGGCATTTCTGGAAGAATTTGTAAAGCTGCAAACCTACCTCATTCACACCTCCACCTTTCAGTAATGAACAGACACCCCCAATGTAGGCTGCACCACTACGGCTGCTCTGAAATTGACTCCCCCTTTTTGAAATAATAACAATGAGACAAAAGAAAGATCCATTTTGGCAACTATAATGTTTTCAACAACAAGAAAACAGGGCTATCTATTATGGGAGGAGCTAAGAGGAAACAGAATATACATGGCTGTCTTGGAACTCCACTGATTCAGTATTCTAGCGATGAGGTAAAATGGACAGACAGACAGATGATAATAACAAGCCAGAAAGGGCAGTTATTGTAGATTTGAAGAAACCTGTTTTTATGCAGACAGCATCATGTATGCTATCTAGTATATGGACTGACGTGGCTCATTGAGGTTATCAGCCTCATAATACAAACCAAACTTCTGAACACCATACAGAAGACAAGATCAACCACTGTTGTTTACTTTATGTAGCACATTAGAAAGTGATCATCTGTGAAGGGCAGCTTCGGCTCAAATGGAGCTGCCTTTTCTCATATGCCCCAATTAACCTTATCCTGAACACCTGCACAGGTCTACAAGGAATTGCTCTCAAATCACTTCCACCACATTTTAAACATTTATCTCAGGCTTGACATCTTTGAAGAGAACACCAATAGCAGATTGCTATAGTAGTTCAGAATCAAAAGCAAGGTGATGGTAGAAGACAATTTATTTAAACATTTCACTGGAAAATGGAGAGGGCAGAGAGGTCCAGCTTTTACAAACAAAGAGGATTGTGTGTGATGAAGACAGAACTGGCCCCACTTCCCCTCAGGATCTTCCTCCAAACTCATCTCCATCAATCAACCTCAATACTCGTACTGAGCTTTGCTGATCTGAAAATCATATGAGGAAAACAAAGAGCAAGAATGTGCAGGATGGGCACCCGCAAACTTCTTTTACTGCTTCTACTGCTTTCTTTGTGACTGTGAAAGACACAAACTGAAGATAAACCAGTATGCTGGTCTACATTTGCCCTCAGAAACATTATAGAGGCAAACTACAATATTTTTGGAAATAACATCAAATTGTATTGTAGCAGACAATAGTTATTCAAGGACATGTTTACAGAACCTGTTCTTCAGACTTGGGCTATTAGTCTTAAAATTTCTATTGATTCATCATAGTAAAGGTTTACTCCACACAGTACGTCCATTCCAGTACATTATTACAAGTGTACAATGGTTGAATCCAGGTGTTAAATACTGAAGTACAATTTATATGAACAAACCTTGCACTCATGACTTCCCCATCATCCTCTAGCACAGTTATGATGAAGAGATCAAAGGCCAGTGCTTCAGTAGCCACTGTGACTTGTTGTAAACAAATCCAGACAAACTGTGCTTAGTCTTAATTCTGACTTAGAGAAACAAGCCCATTTGAAACAGTGGTTTCTGACACTGATTTAAAAGAATTAGTTTTCAAAGTTAAAATTAGACATGTACAGATTTGTGGTTCCGGAATGTAACTCCCAGAATTCCACAGGCAGCAGGGATTCTGGGATCTGTAGTCCAAAAATCACAAACCTGCACAACTCTGTTTAAAACTAAGCACAGTTTATTTGGAGACAACCATAAACCCCATTTAAATGAAAATGGAAACAAAAGCTTTTGATTGCTTCAGCACCGGAAGAGTGAGATAGCTTGCCATTTGGATCAGACCACTGTAAGACCCTGTAAGCCATTACTGGTAACAATTCTGGGAATTCAAACTAGACCACCCCAAATAATAGCAAAACAATAATAAGTTACGTACGAAAAAAGGTGAACTGCATCACTTTTCTCTTTGATAAAATCTCTCCTATATTTCATAAACTCACGCAGAGTCACCAGTGGGTTCTCAGAGATGGTGAACTTGTTGTCAGTACCCCAAGTTTCCATGGCAACCAAGACTATCCTGGTGTTGAGTTGTTCTTTATAAATCTAGCGTATTAACAAAATCAACAGTCACCAAGTGACAGTGTAAATATGACCTCTTAAATATGTATATTCAGTATTACATTAAGGAAGACTCATTGTCATCTCCTTTTTAACAGATTAAAGCATAAAGTATCTAGGTATCTTTTATGGTCATTTCTGTAAACAGTGATGTGCTTCAAAACTAATGAAAGGTTTGATTCAGCAATAGGTTGAAACAAAAGAGTAATCTCAAAGACGGTTCTGTTGAGATAACTAGGACTTTTCCGTTTCAATCATTCACATTTAAATGTCAAGCTGAACTGACACTGAGAAATAAATGCATATCATTTATCTCTCTCTTCCTGACCTCAAATTACCATTACTGTGATAAAACTGACAATGTATCTAGGACAGCCGCTTGTGAATTATACTTACTAAATCTGCCATGTTCACTACTGATTTTGCAAAGCTGTTTGTGTGCCCCACCGATAATCGGTGCTTTTTCAGCTGAGAAACAAAAGACAGACAAATCCTGAACATAATATTAAAAACACAGTTTTCATTCAGAAATGACTTTTTCAAAGCATTGCTTCATCTGCACCTTAAAAACCAGATTACTATTCATACATGAGTCTTGTTTCTTAACCCAGAATAGTGCCACAGAGGTTAAAGTATCAATTGATGGAAAAGCTGACAGGTAAACAGACAGTACAGTTTGAATTCGTAACAAGTTGGGCAGCTTGATTGTCTACTGGATCAGTCTGTATCTACCTTGGTTGGTTTAGCAAAACATGGTGGAGGATGTAGCAAATTAAACATGGTGTTATAAGGAGACTTTTTATTCCCACTCCCATAATAACCGAACTCTAAAGGGACATCCACTGAGAAATGGAAGATTCACAACAGGGAATCTGTGTGTATTTCTTCACCTAGTGTATCATTGAATAATGGAATTCAGTGCTGTAAGAGGTAGAGGTGGTTGCTTTGTGCACGTGCACATGCATTATGTCTCAATGGGATTTTGCATGTCAGTCATCCTTTAATTATCAGAAGAGAGGAAAGAGAGCTAAACCCTCTCCTTCCTTTGCTGTGTTTGTGAGGAAACAGCTCTGCTAAAGATACTGTCCGGGTTTAGAAGAAGGTTTCAGGGGATAATAATCATACCCACACAATCACCATTATTGTTATTTACAGTTTTAAAAGATTTGCACATTACACAAAAAGATGTGCTTACAGCTACCTCAGCATTCACCAAATACAGAGACAGGAAAAGTTACTTTCTAGGAAAATAACTCCCAGAATACCACAGCCTGTGGGGCATTCTGGGAGTTCCAGCTCGAAAAAAGTACAGTGGTGCCTCGCTTTACGATCGCTTCGTTTAACGACAAAATAGCATTACGATGAACTTTTTGCGATCACTTTTGCGATTGCAAAACGATGTTTCCTATGGGGGAATTTCACTTTGCGATGATCGGTTCCCTGCTTTGGGAACCGATTCTTTGCAAAACAATGATTTTCCAACAGCTGATCGGCAGTTTCAAAATGGCCACTGGGTAAATAAAATGGCTCCTCGCTGTGTTTAGGGACGGATTCCTCGCAAGACAGGCAGCGAAAATGGCTGCCCTACGGAGGATCTTCGCTGGACGGTGAGTTTTAAGCCCATCGGAATGCATTAAACAGGTTTTAATGTGTTTCTATGGGCTTTTAAATTTTGCCTTACGATGTTTTCGTTCTACAGCGATTTTTCTGGAACGAATTAACATTGTAATGCAAGGCACCACTGTAGCCTTTTCCATGTCTAATCTAAACATATACTGTGATGGCAGGCAAGAGAACAAAATACAAAGTACGGTAGATTTCCATTATTTCAAATTGGTGCGCTGTTTCAAGATTCTAAGAACTATCAGTGGAAACAGAGAAATGGTTTGGAAAATATGTGCAGTACCAGATAAACAACTTTCCTTTTTTTAGACAGACATTGAGTTTGTAATACTAAGGTGCTGTTCTGATCAGTGCTAAGAATACTTGAAATATTTTAACTTCTGTTATGCTGTACTTTTTACAGCTATTATTGAAATTTATATTCAGCTGTTAATTGAAAGGATGTTTCCAACTGTTTAATTATTGACTTTCCTTAAGTAGTCTACAACTCCCAAAGACAAGGCAGAGTATACATGTTTTACAATACACAAGTATTTCCAGAAGGCCAGTGTGTAAAACCTCACCATTAAATGATCATTTACAATCATCAGCTCAACATATTTTGTTTCCTCTTCAACTTTTTGTGGCCTCTGATGGACCTGTAGAAAGAGATAGAAGAGCATACATGTTTAAAACCGCAAAATGCAAAATATCTGATTCTTAACTAATCAGATGGAAAGTAATTCACTATGCCCTCATTTTAAAATGGCTTAAAATTAGTTCAAGGCACCAAATTAGCAACAGAATCTATGTCATGCCTTCCAGTGTTTGGCTGATATAAACAGGCTAACAATCTAATTATAATATAAGCCTGGAACAACCACAATGGACAACATTTGCATTAAAACATAAATTATTCTCGGACCCCCATCAAAGTATGATCCTTTAACAGAGGAATAATACGTTTATTCCCCCAAAAATGTATATAAAAAGCTACTTTCAGAGTGTCATTTATAGTATACAAACTTATAAAAAAGAATTGAATGTTCAGAAATGTGTCATATCCCTGTTTTTCCAAAAGGATGCCAGCAGAGTTCTTCTGTATAATTATAATGTCAGAAAGATCAGCCTGAAAGAATTCCATGAAAGGTCCTGAGACTTTGGCTTCCTGAGGCATGTGAATGGTTTTACCAAAATTTGAAATGTCTAATTTTTGCAAATTCCTGTACAAATAAGAACCTAATGAAATTCTAACTGTATTCTCGAGGGCTTTCATGGCCAGGACCCGATGGTTGTTGTGGGTTTTTCGGGATGTTTAGCCGTGTTCTTAAGGTTTTTGTTCCTAGCGTTTTGCCAGTCTCTGTGGCCAGCATCTTCAGAGGACAGGAGTCAGAACTCTGTCTGCGCTCTGATGCAGTTTGTTGGATAGTTGAGTACTTATAAATGTGGGATTAGCTTTTTGTCCTTTTCAGGAGATTGGGTGATAATGGTGATCAGCGTGTTTTTTTCTTATGGGTATATTGTTGTGATAAGAGGGAGAGATGATCTGTTACTGTGATTGATGGGTGTCGTTAACTGGTCTTTTGTGTGCAGTGATCACTGGTCCTTGTGGCTGTGTAGAGTTTGTTGACCTTTTGCAGGCTGTATTTTTCAGTGCCAGGAGCCAGGCTTTGTTGAATTTTAAACTTTCTTTTTTGTTGAAGCTTTGCTGGTGTTTGTGGATTTCAATGACTTCCCTAAGCAGTCTAACATAGTGATTGCTGGTGTTGTCCAGTACTTCAGTATTTTGAAATAGAATTTCATGTCCAGCTTGTTTTAGGGCATGTTCAGCTACTGCCAATTTTTCCGGTTGTTTTAGTCCGCATTGTCTCTCATGTTCTTTGTTTCTGGTGTGAATGCTGCGTTTTGTGGTTCCAATATATACCTGGCCACAACTGCAAGGTATCCGGTATACTCCAGCAGTGGTGAGGGGGTCCCGTTTGTCCTTTGTTGACTGTAACATTTGTTGTATGTTTGTGGTGGGCCTGAATACTGTTTGTAGATTGTGTTTTTTCAAAAGTTTCCCCAAGCGGTCTGTGACTCCTTTGATGTATGGCAGAAATACTTTATTTGTGGGTGGCTGGTTTTCCTCTTCAGTTTGGTGTTGTTTTCCTGGTTTGATGGCTCTCTTCATTTCATTCTTGGAATACCCATTTGCCTCTAACTACTTCTATGGCTCTACACAATTTGTATCTCATTAGGAGATAATGCTCCAAAGGGCTATCAGGTGTCTCTTTTTAAATAAATATATAGAATTCGGTATAGACTAGAAAGGTCAGGAAAAATAATGAATAATTCTGAAAAAAAGTCTTGCATTAACTTAAATTACAGCTGAATGCACATGCTTTAAATGCATGTGTTTGCATGTATGTTTTCATATGTTAAAAATGAACATACAGATACATACCTGTCTTTTCCTTCTTTTGTGTCTTGGTTTCACAACAAACTTCTGTGATGTGGCATTCATGTGCCAGAACTCTAAAAAGAACCAATATTCAAGTCAGCCTAGCACCACTTTGTACGCTTATGGACTTCTTTAAAAGAATGAAGGTGTAGATTTACACAGCAAAGTTGAACAGAAAGATATGGCAAGTATTTCAAGAGCTATTTGAACTTAAAGTGAACTTTCCATTTTTATGTCTTTCAGGACACTTCTTGACACAAACAGCACCTCCAGCCTTTGACACCACTGTATGGAAAATGAGGACATACCTTTCAGTGATAAATACACAAATGAGTAAATATGGGAGAGACATTATTGTCTAAACATTTTGACTTCAACATGGGCTCCTGCAACGCACTTCAAGAGAATTTTGTTGTTTTAACTACAGTTTCAACAAGCTATAAGAATCCAAACAAAAATTTAATGAGTGGCTTTAGGTATTAAATAAAGACACTTAAATGCGGAAGTGAAGTGTATACTACAAAAACCTGATGACTCACCAGGTAGAGGAAGAATTTAAAGGACTAGTGATGGTATTTGCTGTATGCAGCCTACTGCTCTGGTAATGTAGCCTACCTAGTTCCTACAGCAGATTCTCTCTTTAAGTACCAAAAACCAGTGAATGCCCAAGTTCTTATGAGGCAAACCTGTATGGCACTGCTTTCCTACTGTGGTACTAGTGAAAGCTTTTGGGAGTTTTAATCCAAGAACATCTGGGGAACTAAGGCTGGGAGCCATTGCTGTATTGTATCATGGAAAAACTACCATACAGCCAAGTTCACTGAATGTTTTCAAAGCTGACACACACATGAAGGAATAAATGTGCTTTCTGTTTAAAGGAGTGGAGGCTCAGAAATGTTGGCTGGCATAACTTCTCCAAGCTGTGTAAAGAGCATGATGTGATTATGCTTCACCAGCCCATGTGATTTGAATAAGTTAACATAAACTTCAGTGCACAGTTGGCTGCTACAGTATTATATCCATTTTCCTACACAGCTATATTGTCAGTGAAGTAGAAATGGGTAATGAAAAAAAAGCAGTCATTGGCCCCACTGACGTCAATAGTGTTTATTTCCAAGTAAGTCTGCGTAGGGCTGCAGCCTCAGACGATCATCAAAGCATTTTAATAAGATAAGATAAATCATCCTAATGGTATGAATAAAATTCAGACTCAAAACCCACATGAAAATGACATTCAACAAACATGGCATTATTTTACTACAGGCAAAGTTTTCTTATCTGAATGAACACAAGCAGAATTTGCTATAAAAAGATGGGAGAAGATGACCCCCTTACCCATCTATTCCTGAAAGTGCCCTAGGAGACCTGTATAATCAAATAAAAAGTCTTTTCTGCTATCTCTCAAATACTACAACTTTGCACATAATAAAAAATAATACCTTCCATACATGAATATTTCCATTTCTGAATGTTTCAGCAATCAGTATATACATTCAGTCTTAGTTTTATCATGTTTTTAGCCTTTCGTTTAACAAGAATTCAGCTCCTGGATTGCTTTTAAAATGTTTAAAACCCAATAATACCTTCTGTGAACCTGCCTGTAGGCATAGAAATGTCCTCTAACTTTTCATATAGATCTCTCTCTCTCTCTCTCTCACACACACACACACACACACACACACACACTTACTTTAAAGATATCAAACCAATCACAGCTTTAACACTGATGCAACTACAAAGTCTTCCCCCTCTGCCCCAGCATTCAAACTGCATTAAGAACATTTTTAAAAGAATTATACGTTTGTTTTTAAATTTTACAATTTACCATTCTTCAAAAAAATTCAAAATACATTACTATTTGTACCACTTTTAAAAAAATTATAAATGCCCTTTAAAAATTATGCTAGCCTCTGAAAAGTTTTCATATCAAGTCTACATAAAACAAATAACAAACCAATGCACGCAATCACAAACTCAGAGCACTTGAAAGAAAAGAAACTAATCAATTAAGAAGTAGCAATAATTTTAGAATATCTTCTTTGAAAGTCTGGGTCATCTTCAAATTAACTAGATAAAAACAGATGTAAATATATCCTTCTTTAAATAAACACTGAAAAACACACAGGCCCATTAACTAGATAAAAACAGATGTAAATATAACCTTCTTTAAACACTGAAAAACACACAGGCCAGAACTTTTTACCACATACAGAAGAAAACCTGAGAAAGCCATTATGGCTTATCGATGAAATGCCAGTTGTGTGACCAAGTATGTGTCCAATATGCAACAAGCATCTTATCAGTTAATCATGCCAATTTCCATGTCTTCCCTTCCGCAAATGATAAAAAGTAATAGATTCTGGCCACAGTGAAGTCGCTAAACAAATTCCTATAGGAAGGAAATTTCCCTTAGAATGGGGCCACCACTGGAAAGGCTGTCTCTTATACCATGATGGCCCTCACTAGTGAGACTAAAAGCATTACCTTAGTGAGAGATACTAACACCCATACTAATGCAAGTAATCATTCAATTAACACAGTCCTAAGTAATAAACATGGTACTTTCAACTAGACCTAAAATGGACTGTTAATCACTACAGCATTACCTTAGTGAGAGATACTAACACCCAGGCAGGTGGGCTTTGTATTAATGCAAGTAATCATTCAATTAACAGAGTCCTAAGTAATAAAGATGGTACTTTCAACTAGACCAAAAATGGACTGGTAATCACTACAAGGGGAAGCAGGAAACAAATTTTGTTCATTCCATCACAAGTTGAATTCAGAATAAGTCCCTGAAACTTTTGTATAACCATGCATTTCAAACTGTGGCTGATAACGTGCTTATTAACTTGGAGAAGTGCTATGTTGTAACAAGCACAAAATATGTCAGTTTAGCTTCTTAGGAAATGCGACAAGAGAAGAAAGACCTCTGTGTTATGTGCTTTCCAGTCAGAACTGACTTAAAGCAACTCTAATAGGGTTTTCAAGGTAAGTGAGATGCTTAAAGAGTGGCCTTACCATTCCACCCCCTCCCCACCTCAAGTTTTTATGGCTGATTTGAATCCATCTAAAGGAAATCAACCCTGAGTGTTCACTGAAAGGACAGATCCTGAAGCTGAGGCTCCATTACTCTGGCCATCTCATGAGAAGACTAGACTCCCTGGAAAAGACCCTGATGTTGGGAAAGTGTGAAGGCAGGAGGAGAAGGGGACGACAGAGGATGAGAGGGGTGGACAGTGTCATTGAAGCTACCAACATGACATTGACCCAACTCCAGGAGGCAGTGGAAGACAGGAGGGCCTGGCATGCTCTGGTCCATGGGGTCACAAAGAGTTGGACACGACTAAATGACTAAAGAACAGCAACAAAATCCTAACTCCAAGTTTGTCACTTTATCCACTATGCCACACTGGGTATCTAGAAGACTTCTAGAAAAAGAAATAGTGTGGTCTAATGGACCAGTCTAATAATTTAAGAATAGAATATTTCAGTTCAGGTCATCTTTAGCTGTGAAGACTACCAGGTTTTCTTGGGCCACCCACACCTCCCTGTAAGACTAATTTGCTTTGAGGTGAAAGAGGAAATAATTATTTGTACCATGAGGAGTTCTTCAGGTAAAAGGTGGAATTGTGTTTTTTTCCTCATTAAAAATTAGAAGAAAAGAAAATGCTCTTCACACATCTAATTATTTACCAAAATCACACCAACCTTATCAAGAGCATGTTTTTACATGCTATGCATGTGGGTTGAATAAACCTAATACAAATAGCCTCAAGGTGTTTGGCATATAAATGATTAAGAAATCTGGGGGGAAATTAAGTGTTTGTTGTGGGTTCTTGGAGCTATACAGTTAAATGTTAACTGGACTTCTTTTCTTTTAAAACCATATTTTGCTAAATCATTGGGGTATGTGATGGGAAGAAGGGAAGTAATGAGTGAGAAACAGCAGAAGACTTGTTTATGCATATAATAAAAACTAAATAAAATAATAGAAAAACGCAACAACACAGAAGTGCTTCAAATCTGCATAATGATGATGAATAATGCTGTTTTCAAACAAGAAAATGGAAAAATTAGTGAAAGAAGGTCTTTTGAATTCATATTATTCTAAATTCTGAATAACATTATTCTACTATATTCTAGTTATTCCCATCAATCCCCCAAATGTAATGATTTTGACATTTGAAGTCCAAGACACATTATGGGATACAGGCTCCCTACTTATGTCCTAAGAAAATCTGACACAATTGAACATAAATGCTAAAAATAGCTTTCTGGAGTCTTCAGCATTTGCTGATGAACTAGTACTTTTTTGGGGGTGTAGTTCTTGATTATTAAACTTAATCTAAAGAGTAGTAACATGTTTACAGAAATATGTCAGTTCTAATTCTTAGGCTGTTTTGATCTTCAGAGACTCCTAAAACCACTAAAAAAATAACTATCAGGATATCAAGAAGTTATAAATATATTTCAGAGAGGGTACGGGGAATAGGATTTTCTTTTAGAATAGAATGAGAAGCTTGTTGTTTTTTCCTATATTCCTGTCCTATGTTCAAGCTAACAGATTATTTTCTGCAGCTTCAAAATGACAAACAAAAACTGGAATCAAAAGCCCCAAGTGATTAACTACTAAATAAAGACAACGGAATAGGCTAAGCTAAGAGTATAAAGAAAAAAGGCATACCAGATGGAAGATCATCCAAAGGAAATTCAAATAATCTGGATTTGTAGACAGAGTGTAAATGGAGTTCCTCCTGAAATAAAGAACATCTAATTTTAGTAAATCAATAGAAAACAAAATGTCTTGGAACTTCATTCTAATATCACTGAATGTAGAACAACATAATTTTGTTGCAACTGTAAAACTGAAACTACTTATACATCAGAAGGTTTAGATGTAGTTTCTATAGGGGAATGGATGTACTGTACCGTAAATTATTTCTGCCACAGTATTCTCATCATTCAAAAACATAGGCGGATCCTACATATGGATTGTTGTTTACTGAAGAAGAAAAGAACAGCTGTATTCTGTGTACAGTTAACAAAAACATTACTTACTTGGGAAGTACAATTTTCTTCTGGCTCAATAAGGTAAGTGTGATTCCCATCATAGAACATGCCGCTGTGAAAAACAGGGCAAATATCAGATTCACATACTAAAATATGACTAAATGCATATGTTGAGATTGTGGCCCTGAACAGCTCTTCAATATGTGAACACTGAAAGGTTCTCAATGCATACAGTATACAGTATAGGCTAAGTCTACTCCTTAGATGTTGATGTGGGTTAAGCAACTCTCTGGACAACACATGCCTAATGGTGTTTCTACTTTTAGGGATCCATGCACTGGGATGACTGTTCAATGCATGGGGTTGACCAGATCCCTGTAGATTCATATATCTATAGGGTCCTTGCATATTGCTATGGATTATGCATTGGGTGGGAAGGAGGCTCGTTTAACACACATTTGTGCCCAGGGTTGGGGCTGGCCTTCTGAGACATGATATCTAATTCAGAAGATTGTACGTGCTATATTAGTTAGAACACTGGACTGGACTTGGGAGGTCCATATTCAAACCCCAGGCAATCACGAAGCACTTCGGGTGATCCTTTCCTCAATCATTCTCTCCCTGAGAATTCCTAAGGCGTACTGCAATGGAAGAGGTGGAAGGAAAAACTTCTCATCCTTGCTTGTAGAAAAGGAGGTAGGTAGGTTCATGAGGGCATCATTGGTCAGAAGAGGAGATTCTTGTTTTCCCCAAAAACTTTGGACTGGCTCAGAAAAATAATCTATTTGTTTTGGTATTAATTTCGGAATACTGCCCCATTTACTTCTACAAGTATCATGGGGGCTTTTTAAAGGGAAAAAGATGTGGAGCAAGGAGAAGCAGAGGCTGAGATGTGAGGGGCATATGTACAATACCTGGGCCCTCAGGAGGTTGCCTGTCTCTAGTATAAAATATGTTACAATTCGCTTTTCACACAGAAGTTCTTATTTGCAGTACAGTAATCAACTTCAGTTTCAGCTCATTTCACTCAACAGTAACAACACCTCCTTTTGTACTACTAGGTGACAAAAACAATAACTCACTAAGAATGCTTCATTTTGAACTATTAACTCTCATTTACAAACATTATTAATTTTCTGTGCCAACACTAACCAAACCATTAGATTATCACACTGAGACTCTGAATTGTTTCAGTGCCAGTGTCCATACTGCCCCCTCAATCTGATGTGGTTTGATCTGTGGCACAGCCTACAGCCCCACTTCCTTTTATCTTACTCTCTGTTAATCCCCAACTGTCCTTTTATGGTTCATTGTAAAGTTCGCAGGCTAGTTAAAGCTTTGCACAGTGCTAAGAAAAAGGGACAGTTTTCCAAAGTTCTCCATAACACTTCCAAAGTTGTCAACTTACACACATACCACAGAAACACAGTAGCCTCCTCTGGTTTGTCAGAACTGTAAAAAGTTCCTATCAATTTTTATTTATTTATTTATTTTGGACCATGCAAAGGTGATATATCGCTAAACTAGTACATCAGTGCAGTGATAAAGTAATCTAGCGTTAAACTTGGTAGTTTGTTTTTTAAAAAGGCAACTAGATAGAAAGACAATGGAAGTAGATGCTCCCACTGTCCAAAATTAGTACCTAAAATTAGTACATCACCAGAATACCACCCACAATCACACAACGTGTCCTTAAGAGAACGAAACAACTGATTACACAGGGGAAAGTTTGCCTGAAAAAAAAATAGAAGGTCACAGTGGCAGAGAGAGAGAAAATCTGCATCAGGAGCAAAAAGGGCTGATTTGAATTGGCCTTTGCATCATCAGATCATTAAAAAAATGAGAATTCATCTGTTTTATGCCTGCAGCAAATCCCACAGCATCTGACAGCGTCTGATTTATAGTGACCCTATGAATTCGCAATCTCTAAAATGTCCTGCCTCAAATGCCCTGCTCAGCTCTTGCTACAGCCTATGTCCGCAATTCCAAAGAAGTAGCCATGTTAACCTGTCTCAGCATGTGACCTGAGTGTTCTCCTTTAAACTGCAAAACGATTTTGTCCTCCTTGTCTTCTCCTTTTTACCCTTTGCTTTTTGTCAATCTGGAAAGGCTGCAATAATCATTTGCCAGCATCTGCATAAGTGCTGTGTCCTTTCATTTACGCTGATGTAACTAACCAATAAGATACTAAGATACACTTCCATTATAAACCACCTAGCATCAAGGAAAGATTATCATAGGGTCATCATCACTGAGTTACCCGCAATATCACGAGTAACAGTTGAAGAAACAACGCCATGCTGCTAAGGGAAGCTTTACCGATAAACAGCAAATAATCCATTAAAATGAAACTATTTTTAGACTGGTGTTATTCGTGCAACCTGACCTGAAAATCTAACCTGCCTTATTTTCAGATCCGGCTTATTGGAAGAAAAAGAAAAGACACATGTTTTTATTGCAAGTATAAAATGGGAGTGCAAAATGATAAATGGGCAAAATAATAATAATAATAAGTCCTACCCCTGCCAATGTATATCCAATAATTTCTAAAAGTGTTTAGGAATGTGATACCCAAATTACCAAACCATCAATCAATGTAGATCCCAAAAGATAAGTGCATGCCTTTCAGGGAAATTGGATGATGATAAAGACTATAGAGGTAAGTGCATCTATTTATAGTCCCATCGCTCACTTGTTGACCTTAGAAGCAATATATTACTGGATTGAACATATAGGTTGGATGCTCTACTGCAGATATATGAAATATAAATTAAGAAAATGTTGGAGATGCTCTGTACACATGATCTCATTTACCTTTATAGCAAGAGCACTACATTATCCCCATATTACAGTGGGTTGCCAAGGGTGAGGCAAAGCTCTGAGATAGCAATTTATCTTAGCCTGCTTCATGACAGAGATGAGATTTGTATCACAGACTTTCAGAAAGATACAATGAACTTGAGATTTGTATCACAGACTTTCAGAAAGACACATCCTTAGATTCTATTAAGGATGTGACAATTCCTCAATCTTGATTTTACTATGCTCCTCTGAATCCCACCTGCATTCTTGCCCCATTCGTGGTTCATATAAAGTTACAAGTCTTTGTTTCTTGATAGGTGTGTTTGTATCCATGTACTTTTCACAGTGAAAAGAACAGAATTCATGCTACATTTAAAAATAAAATGTGTATTTCTATCCATATTTTTGTCTACATTTCCCCCACGGAATTGTGTGCTTCTGCATTTATATCACCAACCACTAAAACACCAGTTGGAATCATGTGCATCCCAAAGCATTTTTTTCAGCTCCCCAGATTGAAAAAAAAGAGATTCTAGTCCCTTTTGTTTTGTACAAAACCCACAGGAAATCACACCTTAACAACAACAAATATGAAGCTGACCTTCTAGTCCCTTTCGGTTTATGTGCCCCTGGAGGGTTCTGAGGTCAGAAAAATGATCCCAAGAAATCTATCCTCAGCACATGCCCATGCCTTCACTGCATACTCCTACAAGAGTCTATATGTGTGACCTGCTGTTCTTTGGCTGTGGCATTATTCTACTACCAGTACTGGTACAAACTACTGCTGTGTTCCTGAAGTCTGACAAAAGCTGGATCCAACCGAATATGCGCAGTGGAGACACAACAGAATACACCAAAGGTCCATCTAGTGTAGTCCTCTCCTGCAGTTGCTCTCCCATCACAGCTGTTTGGGGGCACAATGCTGCCCAAACTGAAGGTTCCATGTGGCCATCATCACTATTGGCATCTGAGAGGGCTTTTGCTCTTTGAATTGGGCAAATCTCCTTTTAAACATCAGCTTGGCTGTAAATAACTGTTCGCTGAATGTAACCTATTCTATCCAAAATCTAATACAGCTAATGTACTATTTACTAGGAACAGAGGTACTCTTTCATCAATTAAGGTAATTTGTGAGCTGGTTCCAAAAATGCACACATCTTCGGTTCGCACAGTTCAAAACAAGGAGGCTGGATAAAATGACTTATATTATTTTAGCAGCAAGACCACCTTTTTCATTTTAACTATTCGTACTCTTCCATTACACAACATGTGAAAAAAAAACTTACTGAAGACCATGGCACGTTGACAGAGCAACAAATGACTCTGAATTTCCTCGGATGTGACCTTGGTAATAACAATGTTCTCCACCCTGCAATTAGAAACAGAGACGATGAGTCCGTGTTGCTTTGCACTATGTCACACAAACACAATTTCTCGAAGAAACCGGGCAGCAGGTTACCAAATTTGCCCAGCATTATGTAATGATTAAAAACATATACCCATACATTGAATGGCATCCTTGGTGAGGCAGTCTTCTCAGGCAGTGGGGCAGGCAAATGACCTGCTCCCCCTCCCTTGTACTGCTCCTGCTTCAGGACAGCATTTCCTGTTTTGGAAGCCTACCACTGCATGCAGAAGTGTTCCGGCATGCATGCCCCCTTACACTCCCTGAGAGAGGAGTGAAACAAATTCCTGCATTATAATAAACCCAGCTGGACTTAATCTAGACCCCATGGAGTTCATGGACATGGATATGGATATCCACCAATCCTGCCGGGATGGAGCAGTGGGGCTCACAGGGAGTAAGATGTTAGATAAGATGTGCAGAATGTGCATACTCGACACTTGTAAATACTGTATTGGGTTTTTTCCTCAGCTACCACCCTCCACAAACTATCTTTGCCCCATCCAATTTAATCTCTGCTCCTCATGAACAGATTTGTAAATGTTGTCAACTCTGTCCTAGAACTAAATTTGACCTTTCCATTTCCGTCCAAACCTTACACAGATCAGTTTGAGTCAGGCTGATTCTGTTTGGAATTTGTGATTTGTCCAAATCCAGTCCACAGATCCACAAATGACCCCACTGATCATCCTGTGATTAGGCAAGGCACCTACTAGACATAGGAGCTTCCTATTCATATCCAGGGGATATGAATAAAAAGCACAGCACTACAGGTGCAACGGCGGTCCATTCCCTTTCCCCCAGAACCAGCCTGGTCCACTCACCAGGCTCTCTGCAGTGAGCATTTCCATCAGCATTGTCATTGTACCAATCACAGAAGCAGTCCTGCTGGTGCTTCCCTGCCTCGCCCCCACAGCTGACCGCTCAGCAGCTGAATGGGGAGACTCATCTTCCCATCTCCTCCCTGGTGTGGTTGGCTGTGGGGGGAAGCGGGGAAGAACTGGCAGGACCACTTCCACAATTGGTGTGACAATGAAGCTGATGGATGCGCATGCCATGTGGAGCAGGGTAGGTGGACTGGGCTGGTTCTGGGAATAGGAAAGGACCGCCATGGCACCTAGGGTGCCACACTTCATAGTCATATCCCCTGGATATGAATACGAAGCTCCCATATCTAGTTTCCTACTCATGTGAGTTCCGTAACTTCTTTGGCCATTCACACATGATAGTCAAATGTCTGTAATGCTGCTGGATGCCTGAGGACATTTAGGAATGGCCCTTAAAGATATCACTATATCCCATCACAAACTTAGCCCTTCACACATGCAGGCAAATGGCTGAGCAGGGTTACAGCGGGAGTCTTTTCTGAGCAATGGAAGGTTTCTGCTGTTTCTTACCATCCTGGATCTCAACATCTCTCACTAATGACAGATAGCCATTCCTCTTGCCTAAACCCTCTGTTGCATATCAGAAGACACAATCATAAGCCCAAAAACAACATTTGTGGGACCTATCCATAAGCTCAAATATGATAAAGCATTGGACTTTCCACTGTTTAATCTTGCATCATTCTGTGCCTTTATTGCTCAGCAACAAGGCATCTATGGGATCTATCAAGCCCATTGGCATACTTCCCTGAGGTAAGTTTTCTTGCCCCTTGCTTCTATAAGCAAATGTCTGCAAAGAAGTAACATATGATTGAACAGACAGAGGGAATATTGCTGGATATGAGTCACAATTTTAAAAAAAATCATCTTGCTATTCAAGGCAAACCTATCCTTAACATTCTCACATCCACTAACACAGACTAAAAGCACTAGTGTAATGTTTAAAGACTCTTTAGCTGTAGATAAAGGATAGTTTGAAGCAATATTCTGAGACCATCATCGCTTTTACTTCAAATGTTCATTTATCCTCTCATAATAGTTTCTGGGTTTGAGGCGATTTGTAACATTTCAGGCTCTATCTGGGACAGCTGGAACCAGCCTACCAGTAAGGCTGACAAGCTGCAACAGAAACATGTTAATTTTGGCCTGATTGTCACTGACTATTGAAGAACAACTCATCTGCAACAGACTAATGGATATCTACTATGAACATCCAGGATACGTCACAACAATTTGTTAGCTAAATTCATAATAGGCAAAAGAGCACGACAAAAATTAATATCATGCATTATATAACATAGATCAATCTTCTGTACCTTGGTACCCCTCACTCCCCCCGCCATACGAATGGTTACAATTACCATCATCCCTAGCCAGCAAGGAAGTTATAGTTGTTCAACAAATCCCAAGGTAGGATAGTTTCTAGAGATGGGAGTAACAGTTCATTATTTTGATGCACAGGTCTTCTGCAGGTGCCCTGGCTTCCTTCTCCCACCTCTTCTGGTGGGCGCCCACTCAGAGGCAGTGTCCTGAGCTTCCATGCCCCACCTCCTCCTCTGAGTAGGCTCCCACTGGATGAGGTGTGGGCGGGAAGGCAGGGCACCTGCAGAAGACCTGTTCATTCCAAAAATGAATACTGGTAATTTCTAATAGTTTCCTAAAGACAGAAGTTGCCAAGTGAGCATCCATGTAACTCTTCATGCATTGAAAAAAAAACCAGAGCAGAATCCCATTTCTGATTTACATTTATACAAGTGAAATCACAATTCGATGCATGTTCAGTAACACAACCAGCTCCTGATTAACAACTGGCAGCTTCTCACTACAACTTATGTGATTTCCCTTTTACAAGCATTGATCAGCTGTAGAATTCTGGCCTCTAGGGCCTTGTGACAACTTAAAGGCCAAAAGATTTTATTGGGCAGCTTTAAAAATAAAATCTGTACAGCAATCACATCTTGGAACATTCAGGCAAGAAAAACACCAGTGTTTTGAGATGTTTTTTTCTTTTAACTAAAAGTCCCAGAATTCTCTAGAGTAGGATTCTGGAGGTTCTGGAGGTGTATCCCCAAAATGTAATTTTCTCAAACTCTACCTCCCATATATAAATTGTTTCTTGAAAAGAGATTTTTGCCCTGAGGCACACCCAAAACATGCTTCAGCATCTTAGGGTGTTGAGAGAGAGCTTGTTCACTTTGTCGCCTCTTTACTCACTACATTTGGCAAGGAATATATGCAAACATCTGCTTGGAAAGCTGCCACTTAATTACTTTCCATCATAGATAAAGAAAATGATTTTGAATATCGCCCACAAAAAAATTAAGGAAGGCAAGGAAGTAAAGGAACATTCCCGCATTGCTTATCGCTTCTTTATAAACTGTAGCAGGAGCCCCAGAATCCAAGATAAAATTCTCAGCTGCTACACTGTCTGCCTCATAGTTGCATAGGAGTTAAGCGACCTAAGAGCACAATATGTTATCCACTGATGTGTCATAACTTAGGAAACAATATTTTTGACCACTGAAGATCAAAATCCTTACACAGCATGGCCAGTTGAAGTTTTATTTGGAGTTATAGCCCGAAAATAACTATTTCAAGCTCTGAGAAGAAAAGCAAATTTGAGACAGAGACAGCAAAAAAGGTTGAACAAGGATGTCCTTCAGATACAACGGAATCTCTGCATCTCCTGGGAAGTTCAAAAGACATTTTAGTGAATGGGAATTCCTCCAAAGCAAAAGAATTCCAAATCCAAGAGTTGGATTACAATTCAGAGGGACCAAATGTATTTCCCAAAATTTTTGCTTCTAGTAAAATTACTGTTTTTATCCTTCTAAAACTGAACGGTGTTCTGAACTTGGGCTGCCTCTATGAAGTATGCCATTGTCATAATAACTATCCACAAAAGCATAGGCTGATAACCACTTAGGTTTGGAGGATCCCACCAGTCAGGGCACCCTGTGAAAAATTGCACAGCTCTCCCTGGGTCTATTCACTTCAGATTTGGCAGGTTCGATGCCCTACAAATATTCCTGAAATTTTCATCCAATTCTGTCAAGAAATAAAAGATACCAACTTTTTTTGGGTGGGAAAACCCAAAACAAATAGAAATGAAGCAAACCATCTGCCTGCAATTTGATAGGTATAATTCACTCCCAAGGAGCTCCTCCTACCTTGAAGATTTTTTTCTCATTTTGTCAAGGGAGGGGGAATTACAATTGTTGTCAAACTCACACAGAACTAGACTTACAAAGTGGCCACTTTATAACACCTGAATGACTGTAAACAAATCTCTCTGATTTTCTGCTGCTTGCCATGTACAGATTACTGGGTTTTTCCCCCCCACAGGCCCAAAATAACTGGAATAATTTTTTAAAAAATCCACCACATCTCCTGTGTCTGGGTCTCTCTGTGTGTTGTGCTTGTTTGTTTTGCCTTTCGGGCACTTTTTATCCCAGCTGGTGTCATATATTGGAACAATAAATGTTCCAAGCCAATTTTGTGGAGAGGGGAAGGGCAATGTATCAAGATGCTAAAAAACAGAAGCTGACATCCTTAGTTGATAGTATGCTGGTCCTACTCAAAGGGGGCACAAGAATTCCTAGTGTGTTCAGGTTAAACTAGACATGTAAAACTAACTTAAATTCTAACCTTTCACCCCACTCTCAGCCCTCAAGAAACTAGAACTCTGAAAACACCCCAGAATTCACTAGGTGTGAAAAAGCCTCAGAACTCACTGAATGCAAGTTTGTTTCTTTAATCCTGCAGCAGAAGGGTAAAATATTCTATAACAGAGAAAGTGATGCATGTTTGCCGGAAAACAATTAATCCAGTCCAAGTCACTTACTCCCAAAGTGATTTTTCCCTAAAAGTGGACAATGTCTTATACATGTTCATAATGCTCTGTGCATGTGTGACCATAGATTTTGGCTGCCACAACAGACTTTCTACAAGATCACCTTTCAAACCATCATCAACAACTGCAGTTCAAAGAACACCATCTCGACTTCCAGGCAGAACTTGGAAACAGTGTGTTAGAAAATTACATTCTTACTTTTGCATTAAGCGGCATATTAATGC